AGCCCATATTCAGAGTATGAATTTCGGGTAGTTGCTGTAAATAACATTGGGCGAGGGCCACCCAGCGAGCCTGTGTCAACACGGACTTCAGAACAAGCACCTTCAAGTGCACCACGCAATGTACAGGCCCGAATGCTGAGCTCCACCACCATTCTGGTACAGTGGGAAGAACCAGAGGAACCTAATGGGCAAATACAAGGCTACAGAGTTTACTACACCATGGACCCCACTCAACACGTCAACAGCTGGATGAAGCACAATGTGGCTGACAGCCATATTACCACTATTGGGAATCTTGTACCCCAGAAAACATACTCAGTGAAGGTTCTTGCTTTTACTTCTGTTGGGGATGGACCACTTTCTAGTGACATTCAAGTCATCACTCAAACAGGAGGTAAGCTAGCAATGAGCAAAATTTGTGAGAGAGACTTTCAGTTTAAAATACTGCAAAAAAACTACTCCTCAAGTATAACCAGTTTATTCAGGTAGTTTTTGCAGATAACCTTTTCTCAATTCCACAGTGCAGGTTATCTTTGCAGAGTGGAAATTACTCCGTCATGCCTTCTTTTTCATCAGTGTCAAGAAATATATCTGCCATCCAACTGACATCTCAGGGAGACCTCATCCTGGAGGTGGCCAAATCTTACAGATTTTGTTTGGCAGTGCTGTGTGCACTAAACCTACTTGTCAGTAATTCTTCATAGGGTTTTTTTTTTTGAGATGTTACTTGTGTGTTTTGGTGGGTTTTCTTTAGGCAACATGCAGTTCTCCTATGCTGTATCGCTCTAGGGAATATTGCTTTTGGAAATTTAAAATGTATGTGTATGTATTCAAATAGTTGGTATGATTCTGAGAACACTGAAAACATGAGACCATTAAATACACCAAACTTTTGTGCAGGTTCAAGCAAGCAGGTTTGTACATTTTGGATTTATAAGTCAAATCAAAGCTGTCCCAGCAAAATGCATACCACAGGGTCACTATTTTCTTGGTTTATGTTTGCAGTTAGGTTGTTTTGTTTCTGTTCAAGAACTTTTAGGTCCATGAATTAGTTTTATTAGTAAAGGACAAGCAAGCACAGTAAAAAACATGGCAGAAAAGTTTTTATGAAATCTAAAGTGAGAAGCTCTGGTAGAGTTACACTGCACAAAGTGTTTTATTGTAGCAATAAGAAAAAAACGGTCCTTTTGTCTAGCAGTTTAGAGAAAGCTGTATGAAATATTACTGTAGGCCAGTGATTTCCTAGAAATATATAATAGTACTTGAATTTTTTAGTACAGGAAAGTTTCCTATTGCAGAGTTTAGCATCACTCAAATTCTTAAAAACAGATCTGTAAAGTATTACTGTAGACTGTTGTTTCATCCAGTTTTTACTTCTGCATTTTACCAACATGCATTTAATAAAGACAGAAATTGATATATTGTCCTGGAATCATTCTAGGTGTTGTGTTGCACAAAGATCTAGATGTTACCTTTTGCAGCATCTCAATTAAGAAGTTATAAAATTTGCACGTGCAAATGTCAATATATACACCATAGTTTAATTTTGGCTTTGCAACCATTTTCAAAGAACTAGTTTTTATATTGACATCTGAGTTCGGGTTGAATCCACATGCATAAGGCTTTTCCAGAAGAAGGTTTAGTGAGCTCCTTATCTGTGTGTTCACTCACAACTGTAAACCTCTTAGATTAGCAAGTGTCTGACAGTGGCTTCCCCAGTGAAGGATGAAGGAATCAAAATAATGAGCACTGAGGCTCAGCTGGCATGGCCCAAGTTACATTACTTTCTGAGGTCACGTCAGAGAAGTAAGCATGTCTATCTGTTTCTGATTACTGTTGCAATCTGAAGAAATTACAACATTAACAGGGCTGGAGGTTTTCTCAATACATTATTTCAATGTTTAATTGTGACTGTTAAAAAAAATTGAAAGAAAACAAAGAATGGGGCATACAGAAAGAATATTTAAGCACTGATAGTTTTACATGAAATACAAATTTTTTAAGTCATAAAAGAGATAAAAATGACAAAAGTCTAGTGAAGTTCTCCAGTTCAGGGTATGGTCAAAAACTAGGATTTGCCCATCTCTCTATCCAGTAGTTTCTCTTCAACAAACATCATAGAAAAAAATGCCCTCCTTGCCCTTCTCTTCCCAATTTGCTTTAATGTAATCTGAATATGATTGTTTTAGTTAAAACCTCTCAAGATTAAACATAGTCCAAATATTAAAGGGAATATAAAGTGCCATTTAAGGACAGGGAAAATGGATTTAATGAAAACATTTTAAAAGAGTTAAAGTAGGAATGGGATGCTGATTACATTTGGTTGATTTTATTTTAAACAAATAAGCCTGCCGTTATATATATATTTAGCTGAACCCTCACTTAGAGGGTATTAGAGCATATATAAAAGAAAATCTTGCTGACATATGTGACTTACAGGCTCTGTTAGATGGTTCAGAGTTTTCCTGCCTTAAGTGTATTCTGATCTTTGGAGAGATTATAAAAATGAATAATTTGTTCTTAAAAAAACTGTTCGTAGGAATTTTTGTTTTCTTAGTATAGCAGAATTATTCTTTTGAAATGGGTGTATGAATGTCTTCTTTCTTTTCAGGTCAGCTGAAATTCTGCTGGTAGTGAAATTTAGATTTTTAATTAGAATACTTACTGGGAGCATGTTGTTTGAGGTGTAGAGAAGGATATATTTTTCAGACAACCTGACATGGTAAAAAACCCCAAAAAAGTGCTATTTTCAGTGTTCAGTACTTTTTATTAAGCATTTGAAGGCAAAGCCATGTCATATTGCCCAGTTGTTTTCAGCAGTGCTTTTTTTTATGGTAAAAAGACCTAATTTAATAGATTCTGTAATCAGAAAAAAAGCTGTTCCTTTTGAGTAAAAGAAAATAAATTCCAAAAGTTAAGAAAGTCTTTATTCTGCATTTTGGGCCAAAAGATTAGATTCTGTTGAGGATGGAGTCAGGACTGGTCTATTATGTAGGTTAATTGACTTAGCTAATTTTACAATAAAGAAAGATTGATGTAAGTTTTACTGTGGTACTTCTTTTGTTCTCCTTGTTCTTGTTTTTCTACTTTGTTAGAAAACAAAATTTGTTTGTGTCCAGTTTTGCTGCTCAGGACACACTTTTCATAACTTCTCTGAAGGGCTTAAACTGGTCATAAGAATGTTATTTTAAACATATTTTAATCTGTGTTTACCAAGAAAACACAGAGTTTTGAATTGTCTGGTTTTGGCTTTTCATATAATTTTTTACCTGCAAAGAGAGGATAGCTACTAAAGGAATTAAGTGAATCTTGTTTTTCTTCAGCGCTTAGATAGAAAGACAGGAGAGAGCTACACAAGGTCTCTTTGATAGTGGATTACTGGTAAAAAGAGAGAGGAAAAAAAATATTCAGGGAAATAAATTTTTAGCTGTTAGTATATGTTTCTGTGGATAAAACTTAAAATACAAAATATATTATTAGTTTAAAATGAAGGATTCTCCATTATTTGAAGGCTAAGGTTTATTACAATTATTAAAGGGTAGTGTTTTGAACATAGGAAAAAGGAAAGTAATGAGAAAGTCAAATATCTGACTTGCAGGGCACATAAATGGACCCTTAGATTCAACAAAAATAATGTTTCTGTAGTTCTTGTGGTAAAAGAAGATTAGAGGTTCAGAGAAAGAGTTGGTGGCAAATACTGTTCTATGTTGTAGCTAGCTACTTTATCAGATGTTTAAATCTTTTTCATGAACATGTGAACAGGGAAACCTGATGTCTCTCAAACTCCACAGTCCTAGCCTAGTAACTTTTGCAGTGGGAGAAGCAGGTGGGAGAAATTTAGGATTGAAAGGGACCTCTGGAGATAATCCAGGCCAACTCCTCTGCCAAGTCAGGGTCACCTGGAGCAGGTGACAAAGGAACACGTCCAGGTGGGTTTTGAATGTCTCCAGAGGGAAACACCACAACGTCCCTGGGCAGCCCATTCCAGTGCTCAATATAAAGAAGGGCTTCCTCAGGTTGAGGAGAAATTTCTTGTGGTTTAGTATATGGCCACTTCATCATCCTCTCTCTGGGCACCACTGAAAAGAATCTGCCACCATCCTTGTGGCACCCCCCTTTCAGATACCTACGTGTATTGATGCTGAGGCCAGGTATAAGATAGATTTTTAACTGACTTAGATTTTAAAACTTCCCTCAAGGGACATTTCTGGTCAGGTAGGAAAGACTATTTCAGCTTTTTTAATAACTCCCTGACTCAATGCACAGGTAAGTTTTGTTTAGTGCCATAGTCTCTATTTTACTTCATTTAAATGCTAACAAGATGGGTTCAGTATTGAGGATCTTAGCTTCACACACTGATAATTCATCTCTTCACTGTGTTCTTGACTGGCTAACACATTTATTTTATTGTCTGGGTTCCCACTATGTCAGTTAGACATAATATTTTAATAAAGTGATATATGGATTTCTGACTCCTTTTCACATATTATACTATGCTTTTTTTTTAAATCTGAAGTGTATAGTAGTTTATTATTTTGAGTACTGTGGTTTGTTTTCTGATACTGCAAACGTCAGGTATCTTCAGACTCATTCAAAGAGATTATTTCAGTTGTAGCAGAGACAGGGAGAACACAATGCACATACTATTTTGTATGTTAGACAGTGCATATTTTATTTTGTATGTTACCTATTTTATTTTTTAATTATATTCTATTAGAATTTGTTATTTCAAAATATACATATATTGTTTACGAAGATAAAATGCTGGAGTACAATAGCTCTTCAGTTGTAAGAGTTCTATTTTAGAGTTTCATGCTTCTTTCAGAGAAATCAGAAGCATAAATCCTTGGTCCCTTTAGGTTCCTTACTGATTGTAAATTCTCTTGGTCAATCTACTGTCCTTTGCAAAGCTGATTTCTTACTGCACTCATTGATTTTTGCTCAAGGTGTGGATTTCACCCTAGCAATGTCATGGGGCTCTTTCTATCCTGTAGATTCTCCCCTTTTTCCATTATCACTTGCAAACCCAATATGGTCCTGGAGCACTTTTCTGGTTACCTCAGCCAGCTGAAGAGCTGTGCAGGGAACTAAAATACTTTACTGAGGTCCTATTTTATGATCCTTTTCTGGCATTTAAATCAGGGATGGAGATAAAGCCACATATGCAGGACAAAGTCCAGCAATCTGTGTTTGTTCCTGGTTATCCAGCAATAAATATGGAGGAATAGGCAAGAAAAAATGCAGAAGTGAATGTGACGCTTTGGAAAACGTAGTTGTGGACTTCATTCTTTGTTTTGTTATTACATTGTAGTCTTTTGTTGTGTGTACTGCCTAAGATATATTTACAAGAAAGGAAAGAAACACTCGGAGCACACAGAAGTTAGGGGTTTTAATATACTTTTGTATTGCCCTTAAAACAGAAAAGACAGTATTGAGAGAATGCTCATGCAAAAACATCCCATTTAGTGGACTGCCCTTGTACTAACATGGAGTTAGATTTGATGTGTGACATTAAAAACACTTCTGTAAGAGTGTAAAGTCCACCTGCATATACTTTGCAGTTTCTCTGGGCTTTTTTCTTTTCCTGAAGGAGACCAATAGCTTCTGTCAGCTCCAGCTTGGCTTAGCTCCCATGTGCCACTGAAGATTTTTTTAACAGATGTGTATTCTAGGCATAAATCTCAAATGGCTTAAAAGTTAATTGTTCTACTTCCTTAAGTGTTACTTTTCCTTTGGTACTGGGTTCCATACCAGAGTTTATTGGCAATAAAGTGTGTTTAGTTTCTGTTATTTTGGGTTTGTTTTCTCTCTTCGTCATCTTCTCTTACCTGTTTGGTGCAATGCAGACTTTCCTGTCACCTTTTTCTTCTGTCTGTGTTCAGTATCAGAGTTGTCTATCTGTGGTTAAAAAATCCAAGGGAAGACTAAGTTTTAAAGCAAGATATTTTTTTGTCAAACAGCATTTGGAAAAGTCCAATTAGCCATCAGCTTGTATTATAAAATGATCGAGAATTCCAGACCTAAGATGACAAAGGGTTTGGGTTTTTCTAAAATGAATACTTGGAGAATGAAGGCCTTAAAACATGTAGAGAGTCAGGAAATACCCTTAGTTCTCCATCTGCTGCCATATTTATCATAACAGATGGTACCAGCCTTCATATGAGTCACTTGACTGATCATTTACTATTATTGTCTGGCTGTGTTCTACAATTCATGTATCCATACATTGAGTACAGATCATAGATAGCATTACAGGACAATTGAGGCTGGGAGGATGATTATCTGCAGAGGTATCCAGCCACAGCCACTGCCCAGAGCAGGCTCAGCTCTGGGGTCAGACTGGGTTTCTTAGGGCTTCACTCACTTGATGTGTAAAATGCCTCAGGGCTGGCATGATCCAACCTCCTTGGGTGCTGGCTGTATTTCTGCACTGTCCTGAGCCTCTCATGTTTCAGCTTGTGCCACTGCCTCTCTCTCACCTGCCACACTCTGTGAAGAGCCTGGCTACATCTCTTCCATCCCTTCTGTCACTGCTGGGAGGGCTGTTGAGAGCCATCCATTCTCCCAGCTGAACCATTGCCATCACTGCAGCCTCTGCTTGCAAAATTACAATCTGTCACAAATACTTAGTTGATGTTTCCTCTAATGGCTCCCCATGCTTTCGGATCATTTCCTCTTTGCACTTTGCAGGACCCAAGCAGTGGTCTCTTTTTAGACCAGACAACTTTTAGGAAAACATCTAATTAGTCCTGTCCATTTTTATTCCTGTAAAAGAGCTGGTCTCCTTTTACTCTCACTCACTCATTTAAAAGAAAAAAAAAAAAAAGAAAAATAAAAAGTCCATCCAGGAGCTAGAAGAATATGCATCCCATGTATTAAGGTTCTGTTTGTTGAAAGTTAGATATCAAATCTGCACCAGAATACACAAGGGCAGTGTTCTCAAATTGATATTCTGTAGAAGTCTGGAGAAAATAAAAATGAAAATAGCAAATTATTTTAACAGTTTACTCTCTGAAGTTTTTTGGTCTTTTACTGTACTAAAAGAACATACTTGTAATGCTGTCATGGAATTCTTCCCTAATTAATCTTTCTGAAACCATCATTATTGTCACATCCTATTTCTTACACCTGGTCTCAGTGTGTGCTAAGAAGTACATCTTTTTATTTTTCCCCTGAAAAAATGAGAGCATGTCACATTTTATTCTTGAACAGCTAGAGATGCTATGGAAAACTATTTCATGCCTTATCAGTGGCACTATTAAGTTAATAGCTAATAGTTCTAAAAAATATTTTAGAACTTGGGTGCCAAAATATTGTACACAATCCATTTTCACAGTCAACCTTATCATTTGCTTCACATTCAAAGAAGTAAATTAGGATAGCACTTCGTCTGGATAATTTCTGTGACCATTGCACAAGATACAAAAACAGAGAATGTTATTGACTAGTGCACTCAAAAGTGTTTTTTTACTTCTTGCAATTAGAAAGTGTTGTCACTAGAAATTCAACTATATTCTTAAAAATACAAGTCATTAAAGGGTGAAAAAACTTTACTTAATGAGAAATTAGCTGACTATCTCTTCACTAGGTTATAACTACTTCAAATTAAACAAGCTGGGGTTTGTATGTAGGTATCTTCTTAAAGACTAGGATATGTTTACTGTCTTTCATTTATGAACTGAGAAAAAGAAAATTCATATTATATGCATGGAAATGCATATAATTTAATACTTTATTCTAGACTAATTCATCTAATCATATGTTCTATGTTCTAGCTTTTTCTCATGCACACACAAATATATAGATGTATATATTTGCCGTTTCACACATAGGTTTTTAGATTGCTGGTATTCATCACCAGGTACATCTTCAATTGCATTTCAGTTTTGTTTGCTTTATTTACACTGCAAAAGCATTTATTTGAAATCTTTGATAATTTTTAACAGGTGAATTAAATATATCATTTTACTTTTTCTGTGCTTAGATAATTTTGTTTCAGAGTACTGTGAATCACTTTAAGTTCAGTAAGATAAATAAAAGTAATATTGCATGCCATGTTCAGATAAAATTTTAAAACATCGGAAAATATTGAAGTATCCAAGTAAATAATTGGCCTCACTGCTCAACTTTTCTTTAGTGCCTGGTCAACCATTGAACTTCAAAGCAGAACCTGAGTCTGAAACAAGCATACTTCTTTCCTGGACACCTCCACGGTCTGATACCATTTCCAGCTATGAACTGGTTTACAAAGATGGGGAGCATGGGGAGGAAGTAAGTGGCAAGACTGTACATATTTTGAATGATCTTTAATAAGCTGGACATAAAATGTGGCAATTGTTTAACTTTCATATTTTATTAACTTATTTTAGTAGAAATGCCTTGATATTTAGGTTTGTTAAGCTCAGCAGTTAGCCTAGTGACAGACTTAAAGTGTGTAAACAGCAGAAAATGTTGTCAATGGTTACCAGACAGTGGAATTTTGCTGTAAATGGCAATGAATCCTCCACAGAAATTCCATTCAGTTTCAGACATTGATTATGTCTCTCTGAGCCTATTCATCTACAAAGAATTGGAAGCAAAAATATTTGAGGACATTTTATGAGCCCATTAAGTCTTTTTTGAACTTACACCTGAACTTTGAAATCTATTTTCAGACTTAGATAATTTTTGTTTCTTTGTGCCATTGTGTAAGAAAATTCCTGGGCTTTTCTAATCTTTCAGTAATAATGGAGAAGAAAACAGGAGGTTCTTTCTAAAGATTGAGGCTTGCTATAGACTTTTTCCGTACCACGACTTCATAAAAATTTTTCACTTTGTGGGCGTCTTTCATTTTTGTCCCATAAATTTTAGAATAAACTGTTCTTCTGGTAGGGAAAAGGCAGTATTACCAGGTGTCACAGAGAAAAGAAAGAAGCCAGCATTCTCAGAAAGGCACAGGAAATTGTCAGCCTCATTGGCTTCTCTTGCATCTTCAAGTCCTTGCTGATGCTTCAACTGAGCAGCTTCACACATACACTGTGAATTCTTAAGCATATTTTGTGTAAGGGGGCCAGGTCTGTATTTCACTTCCAAATAGAATGCAAGCTGTTGCTTAGTAAGCTACCCTGTGGAAGAATTTGCTTTTAATAATTTGAATACAAATTTAACTACAAGGTTAAACGCAAGATAATTTACACTATAATATCACTGTTGTATAAGACAGTTAAAGGTAAGGCTTAGTTCATGTGGTATTCTATGAAAAGCTTTTCATACTTTGGATGTAGTTTTTTGGCTTTGTAGCTCTGAGTTTCACCCATTAAACTGTTGACTTTAAAAAACAGTTTATTACTGTTTGTCAAAAGAAATTTATTTGGGTTTAGTTTTGTTTAGTTTGGTTTTGTTCTTCTTTATTTTCTTGAATCTAAGTTTTTCTCTGTGGCTTTATCCCAGTATAAAAGCATACAGGCAATATTTATGGAATTCAGAGTCTCTGAATACTAACTATTCTCTTATAATCTACGTTTAGCAACGGGTTTCCACGGAACCCACGACATCGTATCGTCTGCAAGGCTTGAGGCCAAACAGCCTGTACTTGTTCCGCCTAGCTGCACGGTCTCCTCAAGGCCTGGGTGCCTCAACAGCAGAAATCTCAGCCAGAACCATGCAGTCAAGTAGGTGTCTTTCCTTGAAATATTTATTCTCTTTGTTTCTATTAATCTCAGTAGCCCAGGTAGGCAGAAAAAGAGAAAAAAGCAAAATACGGTATTCATGTTGCTTAATACAGCAAAAGGATGCTTAAAATATTGAGTTTTGAGGTGTATTGTGATTGACTTAATATATGAGTGGTTTTACATAGTTTCAAAAAATAACCCAAATAAACCAGTGTCTAAGGAGGCAATATAAAGTTGGCATAATGAAATTTTATTTTATAATAAGGTGAAATGTTGTATCATGCAAAAGGTACATATTTATAAAAGTCCTTAACCAATTAAATCCCACCTCCCTACTCTGCACACTTCCTAGGTTGTTTCTGCAGCATCTCCCTGAAGTGCAAAAATTTGTATCAAAAAAGTGGATCAGGTTGAATATTTCAGACTATACCAGATATTTCTTAGCAACTTGTTAAATTTTGTTACATTTTCTTAATCTGGGCTTTTTATGATGTTCGGTCATTTCCACCTTGAGAAAAACAGAAATATAAAAATTTGTCAGGGACTTGTATATACACCTTAAAACGTTTAAATTAAGACTTAGCTAAAGCAATCAGCTATTCAGCAATGATGTCCAGAAAGATTATTCTTGCCTGATAAGTTATGTTTTCCTGACAGTTTGCATTACAATGTGTCATTGAAAAACTTAGTACAATTCTGTTTTTATTTGTTTTAAATTAAATTAACTGTTCTTAAAGCAACATAATTCAAAACAGAAAAATCAGTTTCTCCATTGGCAGTAGTCTTTCTAATTTGCAGTCATGACATGTGATTACACAATCGTTCCTTATTAGTGTTATGTATTAATATCAATTAGTGTGACTGGAGACACAGTACTGCTCACCTTTAAGCAAAGCTAGATATGTTTCTGAAGCATTTCTAAGGCACTTGGAATAAGCACAAAAAAACACATGTAACACAAGGTTAGTTCTAGATATAGTGGCAAGGCAATTTTTCATTTTAGTAATTCAGAATGAATAATTTGATTAAGAAACAGGTGTTAGTTTATTCTGAGAGCCATTTCAACTATTTAGAATTCTCATTATCTTATATTGTGAAAAGATTGCTTACAAAACATACATCTAGGAGCCAAGGCTGTGTGTTCCTTATATAAACACATTGCCATTTTCTCTTCTTGCATATAAGAATATGTTATGTTTTTCTGAGCCTTGTGTCTTCAGATAGTTGCAAAAATCCAGTTGATTTCAGTGGTCAGATCCAAGCTATTTGCTGCAAAGATTACTTCTTTTTTAAATGTGCAATTAAGAAAAAATATATATGCGTCAATAAAACTGGTTAAAGTTGCCTTCAAATTAGCTTCAGTTATATAAGTGCAATATTTTGCATTTTCAGAGTATTATGGATTAAAAATTAATAAACTTCTGTGATTTTATTAGCAATATTCACCAGAATGTGCTACTGCCTTTCATCTTGGTATCATAGGAAGATGCTGCAGGGATTTATTTCTTTTTTGTAAGACCCTTAAGGGACATTTTACATGTGTTTCACTTCTTGCACAAGTTAATGGTAGAAGGGAATCCATTTATTTTGAGTAGTTGATGACTGAATTAGTCTGTAAAAATAACCCAAAATGTGTTAATTCTCATCTGTTCTTCCATCCACCTCCTCTAGTTAATTGAAATAATAGTAAATTCCCTCCGATCTTCTCTTTGGAGGAACAGTGTACCATACTGAGTAAAAAGCCATTGATCCCTGTAGAAAGAACTATGGGGAACCTAAAGCTACATGTGTAAATGCAGTAGGTCACAGCAGGGTCCTAGGCCTTCTCTGTTCTTTTAATTTTGTTTGATGTGACTATTATAAGTATGTATAAGTATCCGTTTGTTTCTTTTTTCCCTTAAGAAATGGGAAGAAAAGGTGGAGAGGGGGATGTAAAGGGGAAAAAAGATCTTGCACACATAATTTATGCTTTTCTGACAAGACAGGAAGCAGAAATAGGAAATCAGTTCACATCCCCTCCTTCTGCTAGTGAGTTTGAATTATGGCTCCTTTTTTTGGTGCTCTGAATGATCTGTTAGTAAGCATAGATTTTGGTAAGTTAAAGTGCATTTAAGCACATAAATGCATACTTAACTTTCAGTGCTTGATTTGCCTCACTGAAAGCAGTGGAATGACATGCATGCTTAAATGCTGTGAAGCTTGGAAAATGTAAATATGCTAACATACTCCTTTGAGAACAAATGACTACAGGTGAGCACTTCTGCTCTGAAGACTAGTGATGCTGACAGGAGATGAAACAAAGTCAGAAACTCACATTCTGATGTGTTGAGCATGTAAATTCATTTTGTAAAATGAATACCTGCTTTCTTTACATGTTGTTTGGGGTAGATTTTTTTTTCTGTAGAAATAATATACATTATTGGTAGCATTAATTCTTTGCTAGCAAAGGTGTCTGCAAGAGGAGTTAAAAAAATAAAACTGGCAGCTGATCTAGGGTAAGTACAAGTTACAGTCAGAATCAGCAAGCCTGTCACTTTTTCCTGGTAGGTAAATATTTGACTAAGACTTTCATCATCTTCTATGGACTGCATGCTCATAGTATGTTAGCTATAATAAATGCTTCAATAAATGCTTTCAATGTAAATGTAATTTATGGTTGACTTGTGTCAGGCAGACTCATTAAAAAGAATAAAAAAACCCAATAATTTGTTTATGAGAGTGAAAAGGCTGCAAAAACTGCAACCGATGGAGCAATTTGTAGCACTTATTGCAAGTTTTTAGGAGTTATGTAAAAACAGATTTTCTGTCTTAAGGAGTAAAGCCACTTGAAGGGGATGTCAAAATTTGTAAGTAAATACATGTCATGTGTTACTTAAAATGTTATAGCTTGCACTAATTGCAAAGATTGTAAAGATAGATCAGTAGTCATAGAGGTATCACGTTTTTGTTTTATTTCAAGAAGAATTTTAATTACAGGTAGGTAATGTTATTTTGAGGCTTCATTTTCATATATTTCCCCTACATCCTTTTTCACCATTTAGTTTGCCTGTTCATTTTCAGTTTCCTTATGTTAATAAGCCAAGGTGCATAAGATTATCTGATGTTTTGCTTTTTTGAGTTTCTACTTTTTTTTGTTTATTTATTATTTTCATTTGTTTATTTATTTTTTCTTTTGTTCATTTTTTTCAATCACTTCTATCCTTCCACTCAAATCCTCCTTTAACCCACTACTGAAATTAGAGCCATCAGCTCCTCCTCAAGACATTAGTTGCACAAGCCCCAGCTCCACTAGCATTTTGGTAAGTTGGAAACCTCCACCGGTGGAAAAACAGAATGGCATTATCACTGCATACTCCATCAAGTACATTGGAATTGATGGAGAAGATGTCAAGCCCCATGAAATTTTGGGAATTTCCTCGGACAGTACCCAGTACCTTTTGGAACAGCTGGAAAAGTGGACTGAGTACCGGATCTCTGTGACTGCTCACACTGATGTTGGACCTGGCCCAGAGAGCTTAGCAGTGTTGATTCGGACAGATGAAGATGGTATGTTGCCTCCACTACATCAGTTTGCACCTCTATGACTCTGTCATCTGCTGTCTTTTGTGTAGGCTAACAGTATTTTTTCTGCTCCTCTTTTTTTTTTTTTCTTTCCCAAATGTAACCAGATATTATCACCCTTTGAGATTTTTATTCAAAGACTGTTCTTTCTACATCATTTTTCTATTTGGTATTTTTGTATTTTTTAATCAGAAAATATTTTTTTGCAAGTGACATGAATCTGCTGCTCCTATGAGCCTTGCTCCTCCTTTAATGAAAAGTAACTCCTAGGGAAAAAACTTCCTGCCTTTTCCTTGATTTTACAGTCATTGTCATTTTTAAACAATTATGTGTATAAACTTTTATTCAGGTCTTGGTTTTTTGGTTGTTTAATTTTTTTTTAACTGCTTTCTTCTTCCATATTGTGCTTTTTGATTTGAAGGGTTTTTTTGGGTTATGGTTTTTTGTGTTGGCTTTTTTTTTAGTTTTGTTTTTTGATCTTGGAAAACTGATGCTCCACATGTTTTCTTTTCTTCCATTCTTGAAAGCGACAGAAGACAGCCTTGTAATCAGCCTCCTTTTTATCCCGAGGGAAAAACAAACCAAAATAAAACATAGAACTTGACAAACAGAAAAAGGGAAACTTTTTTTTAATATTTTGTGGTTTTGTTATTATTATAGTGTTATTATTTCAATGATTAAAATGTCTCTTTGTACTATAATGCTTTGAATCTCAAAGCATCTTCCTTGGCTTTTGTACATTTTTACATGTTTTTCTATTTCTCTAATACTCCTTTTTCTTCCATTTTTTGCATCAGTCATGTTTTTTGATCTTTTCACTGAAAGGTAGAGCAGATTTGTTGAGCATCTTCATTTGCTAAATGATTTGTATTCTTCAAAGACAGCATAGTGTGTCTGCCCTTTCTTAAAAGAAAAAGTGAAAGACTTGGGTGGGACAGGTGGCTGTAATTCTCTTCTGTCCAATGATGTTGTTCCAGTTCCTAGTGGTCCTCCTCGCAAAGTCGAGGTGGAGGCTGTCAACTCCACTGCTGTTAGAGTGTCGTGGCGCTCGCCTGTGCCCAATAAGCAGCACGGCCAGATACGAGGCTACCAGGTCCACTACGTCAGGATGGAGAACGGGGAGCCAAAGGGCCAGCCCTTGCTAAAAGACATCATGCTGGCCGATGCGCAGGTAATTGGGACACTCCATTCTTTTCTAGGTCACAGTGAAAACATTTCATTTACCAAAGAGTTGCCTGTTGTTGTTGAGGGTCTTTTTTCTTTCTATTTAACAGTCTGCCAGCTAGCATTTTCTGTGTCTATTTTAAAAACTTTTTTTGCAGAAAAAATTTAAACATTCTTGGGCCAAAACAAGACATTTTCTTCTCTGTTAATCTGCAACTAAATGCTATCATTGTTCTGATTCTGTTAAACCTGGAGACTTAACCTATACTCTGAAGTTTCAAAGCATCAGGGTGATCTGATCCAGTGTCAGTGTAGTAAACTATGTATGTCCTGATCCACTCATCTCCTATTTCAGTGTTTCAGTGGAGAGCCTAGGATCATTAGAAGCCTGTGTTAGCCTTTTATTACAGTGTTTCTCTGATTAGCTTGTCCACACCTTGCTACACATTTCACAATAAATTAATGTTCTTAAGGTAACTTTAGAAACCACTGAGGCATTACACTTTCCATTATTCATATCAGGATCTTCAATAAAATGAGGAACTTTGTTTGAATAGGTATGTGGTTATTTATATTGCAAAATTTCCCATGTATTTTTGAAATTATGAGAATATGAGATAAGTAAAACATACAGCTTAAAAAAGCTTCTCAAACTAGGATTTTACTGATTGAGATATACCAGCACCCTGTAAAACTTAAGATTTCCAAAGCTCCTGACACTGAAGGAGTCATCCTATGGGAAACTATTATCTATTATACATATCTCATTGCTAGCTCACAGTTTATGACTGGATTGTGTGGAAATAAAAAGAAATTATTAACTTAAATCAAAGAGTAAAATCTGTTTTGTAAGCATTTTACATGGGCAAACAAATAGGTGGTTGTCTTTATTTTTTTTTCCTTTTCAGTTTTGGTTCTGATTTTCAGATTTGCAGAGCCCTCTTTGAAGAATAGGTCTCCTACACCTGCATTTTGCTCATGACCCTATTTGCAAAATACTGTGTCTGTTTCTGGAGGACTTTGCTGCCAGTAATTACTTTCTTATTTTGGAAATCATGGTGTTCTTACGGTTTAAATTCAGTGCAGACAAAGATGAAAGTAGATCAGGAAGTGGAAGGAAAAGGAAAGGGAGAGGAGATGGAAATGGACATGCTAGTGTGCTGTGGTTCTCCTTTTCATAAATTTTTGCTTTCAATCTGTCTGGTAGGGGATTAAAATTATTTTAAGCACTAGAAGATCAGTAACTGGAGACTAGATGAGATACTAGAGTCCAAACATCAAAAGGCAAAAGTTGCATTTCTTCTTTTGTCAAGTTTAGCTTTCAGCAGCCCATTTGCCACTGTTTAAGGCAGGTTAGTCAACTCCTTTCTCTTACCACCACCCTTCCCTGCCTGTAGTACTTCTATAATACATGTGATCAAGGTTTGTACTGGTATGAACACCTTGATGGTAAAACATCTGTGTGGTTTCAAGATTAATGCATTGAATTAGTTTAGGGAAACTGAAGTATATAGCCTGGTATCATGATTAAATAAGCCAGGTGGCCTTTAATTCTGCCTTGGTAACTTTTTTTAAAAAAGTATTAAAAAATAGTACTACATGGTACAAGATGATTCATTACTTCTTTTATTTGTCAGTGAAAGAGAAGTAGCTGGATTTTAGGGAAAACAAAAATGGAATTAAAAATGCCTGGCCTGATATCATTAAACAAATTTCATGTGATTCTACATGGATGATTCAAACTGTACATGACTTTTTCAGACATCTTTCATATTCATTTTACTATAAAGAAGAAAACTTTATCTCAACCGGGCTGCAAATCTCCTTATTTCTTTTGTTTTTCTTTTTGACTTCCTTTACTGTAAATTAGTGGGAATATGATGATACTGCTGAACATGTAAGTACTTTTTGATTGAGCAGAAAAACATTGCGTGTTTGGGTTGAGATTTTTTTGTCTTGCTTGTTTGCTTGTAGCACTGTATGGTTTTGTTTTGGGATAGGGGGGGTTTTTGTGCTTTCTTTGGGTTTGTTTTTGTTTTGCAGGGTGCTTTTTTGTCATTTGCACAAATGCACGTTCCTAACATCAATGGTTTTATCTTATGACACCTTTTACCTTTGTTGTTCTTTTTTCTTGGGTTTTTTTTGGTTGTTTTTTTTTTTTTTCCCCAGGGAGAGTAGGGTTACTGTTGCTTGCCTGTTCTGGGGTTTAGCATGATGCCAAAATGTACAGCACTGATTTGTGTTTTCATCTTTTTGATGTCTGTCACTAACTTTGCCTCACAATTTCTTCTTTACAAGATGATAGAAAAATAAAACAGAAGTGGTTCAGAGTTACACACCAATAGTTGTATTTTTCTGTATTGATTTTAAGGTGGTTTTTTTGGTTTTTTTTTTTTTTTCTGTAACAGAAAGTAGAAGTCAGTTATGCTTTCTTTTGTATAAAATAAATACATGCCATCAAGAAAGCCAGATGCCCTGCAGTGTTTATGCCTAAGTAAATGTTTGCTGTATCCAAACCACACTTTAAAAAATTACATGCAGCCATAGCTCTTACACCATGAAGTACTGGTTGTTTTAGATGAGGCTAATATCTTTTTAACTCTTTCTGTTTTGTAGTTTTTTGACAGGTTTTTTTTGCCTTTTACAGTTTAATTCTGGTAGTACCACGTGCAGTTTTCTTATGAAAGATTTGAAGTCTTTCTTACTGGTTTTGGCCTTACAGTTTAATTCTGAGATAGAGTCTATGATGTGTTGTTTCATTTTGTTGTTTGAGTTTTTTTTTTTACTTGAGCTATTTTGCTCACTCATTCTGATCATTACCTAATTATTTCTATATTGCTAATAACTGACTGCAAATACAATGCTGAGATCTAATTACATATTTACTAAACCCATATCCACTATCTGGAAAAATCCATATACTCTTAATAGTCTGGCCCCTGATTTTTATATTAACTTTTCATAGCTGTTGCATCTGAGGGATGTGTGATTGCACATTTGCTATTTATTCTAGATTTATAAATATACCATCCCTCTGGCAGCATTGAAATATAGTGCAAGTTCATTCAGCCATATGAAAATGCAAAGGAGTAGTCCATTGGCTACAGGCTGGAAGTTGGGAACTCCAGCCCCGTCAGACTTCCAACTACTGTCTTTTTTATATTTACATATAATATATATTTGTATCATGAGTGTCAAAACTTACTCCTCTTGTTGTCCCAGTAGCAGGACATAAGTTTAGTACATTTCTCATAGACTATTCTGCATCTTCTGTGTGCATATACATGTGTGTGCACGCATGTATGAAAAGACACACTCTTGCTCTGCTGTTTACACTTGGATGTTCCTGTTACTTTGCTCTAGCTGAAGAGCTACTTGTTTTGTAGCTGCTGTCATTTGAGGGCCAACAGATCTCTCCTCTGACCAGATTTTTAGCATTGTTTTACACAGTTCTTTTAGATCTGAAGGGCTATTGTTTCTGAAGTCCTTTCAGATGTTGAGAAGTGTAGTCTACCCAGTGACACAGGTTACAATTAAAATATTATGGGAGTAACAAGGCTTTTTTGTTCAGCTAAACCATCATTACTTACAAAGTGTGCATGTAAATGCACACATTTTTCTTAATAGGCATTTTACAGCTATACCAGATATCTTGCTAATGATTAAGTTAAAGTGAATTTCTCATATCTACATGTTCATGTGTTTCACAATGTCAGTATTCCTCGCACAAGGTATTTCAGAAGACTTTTTTGACTGTTCACACCACTAAGCCTTTGACCTTTTTCTTTAAACTACCTGAAGTATACTGTTTAGATGTGTGCTGTACCTTATTGCTTAAGTGAGTGAAATTGCATTATTAATTATTTCATACAGTACAGTCTGTTGGTGCACTCACATGCTTGCTATCACTGCCAATAGCTCAAAAGTGTAATATAAATGGGGTTTCTAAAGGACTCTGCATTCTCCTGGCAAACAATCTATTTTAAATTAATTTTCCTTATTTAATTTTCTTTCATCTTAGGAAATGATAATTTCTGGGCTTCAGCCTGAAACTACATACTCTTTTACTGTGACAGCCTATACAACGAAAGGTGACGGAGCACGCAGCAAACCCAAACTTGTATCTACTACTGGTGCAGGTAATACTTATATACAAATTGAGCTCTAAATAAATCCTTTGACTTTTTATGCTACTGTTTTGTTTCCACTATTTGGAAATGTAAAAGAGTAGTCCTGTCCCAAACTGTGCTACTGTTTTGTTCCTACTATTTCCTATTGTGTGAAAAGTGTTTCTAGGACATAGGATTTTCTGTTTCAGTATTTGGACCTTCATTTATTTAGATAAAAATAGAGCAGTGACTCCCTTTATCCCTTCTTAGTTCCAGATGAGGTCACTTTATAGTTTTTAGTAGCTTTTCCACTAAAATTGGTGTCTTCTGTGAGAGGAGAAAATAGAAATTCAGAGCTCAGAAGGATATTTGAAAAACTTGTAAAGGGTTTTCATGATCTTCATGAAAGTAGCACCACTGCTGCCTGTTAGTAAAAGCATTGAAAGCATCTGTATGATGTTTACAACTTATCTCAGAATAATGTAATTATTAAAGCAGAGAATTGGAAAACAGAATGAAACTCCATCCTGTGAAACCCTGAAGTCCATATTGATTCAGGGGTAATTTTAGGAACAAACTGGGGCAAAATTCACCCTGCCACTGTGTTCAGTCTGTGTTTGGTCTCAGGTGGTATTAAAGTCTGGATGTCTTGACTGCATAACCAACACAGCAGTTAGCACAGATCAGGTGAACTGAACTGCTTTTAGATGAGGAACAATTTATAGTTTTTTTTAAAATGTGTCACTGTGGCACAGCTTAATCAATTGATGCCTCCACAGGTTTACTGTGATACATGCCTACAGCTGTCCACAATCTGTAGGTGTTGTTGTCCATTTTTGGGGGTTTGTAGTGCAGCCATTAAGGATATTCTGTTACAATCACATATAGCATCATTACACACTCTCTGAATAACAATGTATTGTTTATGCTAATAGATAAAATCCAAAAGGCATATATATTTGTATTTATAGTGATTGATTCAATTTTTAAAACAAACACTGAATGCAGAACACATCTTGTATTAATATCAAAACCATCTATATCCTTTTTTTGTTATATCCCTTGGAAAAATTCCAGACTTGGTGGCTAGATGCACAATGCTTCATTTCAGATCTTAGAATACATTCTAGTCGCTAGTCTTGGCAATTGCTGAAACTTACTTTCTAACTTCTTATCTTTCCTGAGTTCTCATACTCTAAAAAAAAAAAAAAAAAAAAAAAGAAAGAAAAAAAAGAAAGAAAAAAAAAAAAAAGTGATATCTATTTCTGGCATGTATTGGAACTTGACTTAAGAAAAAAATGCACTTGATCCATTACTCTTTTTTAAAGTTCAATTCCTAGTTTAAATAAACACATTTATATAAATTGTGATTTTATTATATTCTAGACATAAACATAGGTGATGCAAAGAGGCTTGCAAAACTTAAAGTTTCACTGCATTTAGTCCTTATGGACTGTTCATGTTTCATTCTGTCAAGAACTGATGTTTCTACTTGAAAAAGACAGAAGAAATCTTATTGAAGAGCAATGGAGAATCAGAGGCATGTCTATAAATGTAATGCATATTGCACTGTTCTTCTTGTTTGTTTAAACCTGTGAATAAGAATGTTTGTTCAACTAGGTACCATTCTGCTCCTTCATACATTCCAGACTGTATGAAATCACTTCACAGCTTGCTGTGTTTGGGCTGTTTTTATAAGAAAAATTTGTATTCAGATTTTTGAAAAATGAGACATTGAAATAGTCAGTACCAAGAGCTTCCTGCTCACTTTCTGTGGGAATGCATCACACCAAGGAAGGAACAAAGCATTAACACCAAGAGGTTGTAGATCTGTACTGCAATCTCCTATTCACTTTCAGTTTCCATTTGATTTTTTTTTCCTAGAAAGATGCTATTGGAATACTATGATAAAAAATGAAGGATCTGACTTCCTTGTCTAACTTTTAGAGTTGAAATGAGATTGACTGAGATTATATCCGTAAAAGATATGAAAGGAGAATAGATGTTTGAACATTTACTAAAGAAGCTATCTGTAAGGTATTCAGACAATAAGTAACTATTCAGCTGTCCAGTTAGTGATACAAAAGCATAATTTACATTTTTAGGCAGGAAAGATCCACCAAACATAAGTAAGCTTATAGGATGGTAACTCAGTTATTATTAAAGTCACTGAATGCTGTTGATATTTTTATTCAAGAGTGTGGTTTTGTCTTATGGTCAGTTTCCTCACTGTTGAAATCAGATGAAACAAAAACTGTTTCTGAACATTTCTAAAACAAAATACATATTAAAATACTTGGAGCAGAAATTACAAAATGTATGATTAACAAGACCTTGATAAAAATGAAGACTTACTAAGTCAGTGGTATCATAAAATTTTTATGAAGATTTTAATCAGACCAATTATTTCTGTGTCACAATAGTTGGAGAATCTCACAGAACAATAGCTTGTCCATTACTTGTCTTTTGCTTTCATACTGGACAGCACTCTTAAATTATAGATTTCAGCTTAAAAACGAACGCTTATATTAAGGCAGTGGTGTACTTTATAGCAACTTACAGAAAAAGGTTACTTCAGGTAATTTGGCAAAAGCAGCCTATGTGAAATTCTACTTGTGGTGGCAATACATTGCAGCAGTAACATCTGTTGCAAAGGGCTGTGTGAACGATGTCTTGCTATTTACTAATGGAAGAGGATTTCACTAGATCAGAGAATATATTTTATTTTATTTTATGGACAATTTCACTTCTTTTAGGCTCATGGAAAATTCAGATTATTATCAGAAATTTCTAGACATAGCTATTTGGTGACACAACTGTATATACAACTGGAAAGAATCCTGTCATTTGTCCTAAAAGCCTGTAATATTCATAAGTAAATCATACTGAAAGTAAATGTTAACTCACAACGTTTTGGAAACAAAAAGAAATGTATCTTCTTTGTAACATCAGATAGGCTTTACAGTATTTAAAAGAAGATGTTATTTACTATTTTAGTCAGAGGGTATTTTATTGGATAAGCAAACTTTTATAGTTCCCTGGTTCTGATCAAGAGCAAATATTAGTTTATTCCTTTCTCTGTAGCTACAGCAGAGGTTAAAATGTCATTCTAATTGTGAAGTCTGCCACATGAACACAAAAAAAAAGGCAATTTATTACAAAAATAATTTAGTTACACCTTACAGTAATCTCTCCTGTAGAAAACTGAAGGGGTATTATTATTTTTAGGTAAACTATTATATTCTCTGCTACACTGGTGTGAGTAATAGTTAGAATACAGAGAAAAATATGGCCTGCAAAAGGCCTTCATAGACTTCTCTGTGTTCCATAAAGTCTTTTAGTTACCAATGAGGAAAAGTCAGAACTAATCACAGAGATATTCTTTACACAGCAGAAAATGTGGGAAGACACAAGATTCCACAATAATGCTGCCAGGTGAACTCAACATTTAAATTTAAAGATATTTGGAAAATTTATATAAAATTTACCTATAATTCTTAAGAAATTAAAAGCAATGTCATGACTTACAACAGATGTAATGAGGAAAGGGCTTACTAAAGGCAGAATTTTCTTCAAAGCATGCCATTCTTCCCTCCTTATTCCTAATTCTTTATGGAATGGTAGTTAGACCTTCTGGCAATAACAATCTGATTTGCTGGGTGCCTGAGAACTGAAGATAAGTAATAAAATCTATTGAAGTGTCTACAGGAACCAGAGCTCACAGTGCAGCAACTACATTCACATGAGAAGGCTTTGAATGTAGATGAAACTAATTAGTCTTTGTTGAAGACCATGTTGTTGTTGCAGTACTACTCCCGAAAGTGTTCTGGTTTCTTGACCAGAAATGAGCACCAAATTTCTAAATAGTTATGGATATGTTTCATTATCAAATAAATAACTGCAATAGACACAGACTTCTTAGAAATAGAAGTATTAATGAAAATATAAATGAAATGTTATAAATGGATATGAATAAATTAAAATGAATTAATCAATTAAATAGAAACAGTAAATGAGAATTCATATTGAGACTGAAAATGTGCACTATATAAATTGAATAATGGCATTTCTGGCTTGATTAGGATTCACCTGGTCTGATTTAGTTCAATTCCTCCTCAATGTCCATACCACACTTTCAGTCTGAACTTCTCTAAAAGACAAATCACCAGCTGGGACCAATGGGTCCCAATTAAGTTTGTGCCTGTATGTAGTGTATAGGTTAAGAAAAACTACCAATTTAGCCTTCTTCAAAAGAAATCCAGTTCATGTGCAGAGAAATCTTTCTGGAAAATAAATCGTATGTGATAAGCCATGCTGGAAAATATTAAATTGCAAACTGTGCTACCTCGCCACACTGGTGAAAAGAGTGGAGGCAAAAGTGATTTTTGTATGGAAACTAGAATGACAGAGTAATGATTTTTGAAGGCAAGGTTGTTCTGACTTCTACTACATTTTTACTATTAATGACAATGTTATGTTAAACTTATCTAGAAACTTATTATTTCTTCATTAATTATTTTCCCATTTACAGGAAATGTGCCTTGGATGAAAACTTATAACAGTACTTTTTTTTTTTTTTTTTTTTTTTTTAAATAAGGATTTGTGAGACAGGACCATTCATAAGACATTTGTTGGAAGTTTTGCTTCTTGATTTGTGTCCCTAGATCCTGTGCCTCTGAATATGCTCTATATTTAGAAATAATGGTAAGGGAAGAAGACAAAAGCAGTGAATGTCTCTACGGTTGCAGTTCCTTACACTGTATTACTAAATAGTGCAGGAGCCAGACACTATTTCTTCATTAGGACAATAATATGTGGAACTAAGAGTGAGGAAAGAGAAATATATACCTATTCCTGCTAAAACTAGCCTCAAGAATTGTACATGCAAATGTGTTTATATCTATCCTCTTTAAATAACATTGTGCTACAGTTCCAGGCAAACCTCGGCTTGTGATTAGCCACACACAGATGAACACGGCTCTAATTCAGTGGCATCCTCCAGTGGAAACTTTTGGCCCGCTGCAGGGCTATCGCCTGAAGTTTGGTCGCAAAGACATGGATACATTAACGACCATGGAGTTCTCAGAGAAGGAAGATCACTTCACAGCCACAGACATTCACAAAGGAGCTTCTTATGTCTTCAGGCTCTCAGCTAGAAATAAAGTGGGCTTTGGGGAGGAGATGGTTAAAGAGATTTCTGTTCCTGAAGAGGTACCCAGTGGATTTCCCCAAAATCTCCACTCGGAAAGCTCTACTTCTACATCAGTTCAATTAACTTGGCAGATGCCACTCTTGGCAGAAAGAAATGGCATTATCACCAAATACACCATCTTGTACAGAGATATCAATGTTGCTTACCAGCCAGTTGAACTCCCTGTTGTTCCTGCTGATACCACTATGACACTTTCTGGCTTAAAACCAGATACCACTTATGATGTAAAAGTACGTGCCCACACAAGCAAAGGGCCTGGTCCATATAGTCCAAGTGTCCAGTTCAGGACACTACCCGTGGATCAAGGTAGGATTTGTCTGCTTATGGCGTTGACCTTTAAAGGAGTATCGGTCTTTGGATATCAGTGCATTTGAAGGTGTAAATAAAACTCACCAGCCCATTCATAAAAATAGGTTCATCAAACACAAAAGGTAAAGTATATAAATCTTAATATGTTTTGGATGCCTTAGAATTCAGTTGTCCCTTGCCAAGCAAGTTCTGGCGTAACTTCTTCACAACATTTTCAGGTAAGGAAAATGTGTGTATTGAGTTGCACTAGATAAGAATGAGAAGGAGTTTAAATGTGATATTTAAATATGAACAAGCAGGTAGGAATACTGAATTCTTGTTGATTTTTGACCTGAATGGAAAGCTAATATTCCCAAGAAGCAGTAGAAAAATGACAAGATCTAAGCTCCAAGATGTTGTTTATATACATTGTTTCTTTTTTTCCAGCAGTGTTTGCAAAAAATTTTCATGTTAAAGCAGTAATGAAGACTTCTGTTTTGCTGTCCTGGGAAATTCCAGAAAACTATAATTCAGCTTTGCCTTTCAAAGTAAGTTACTTTCCATTTGTACAAGAGAAATAACAGAAACTAGACAATGTATTTGCCTAATTAAGTAGCTTATTGATCATTAATCATGAGTATGTACTGGGGATATCGTTGTTTCTAAGATCGCTAATCTTTCATTCACCACTACAGTATGTTAAAGAAAACAGCGGAAGAAAATTTTCCTTCTTTTTTCTAGTCCTTTCAACAGAAAATACAGTTGAATACCATTTTGGGTTTTGCCTCCTCAATGTACAACAACATGTTTTTGATTTGCAATTCTTTTACTCCACTAGCTATAGCTGTATCCAGATACAGAGACTCAGGGTAACATGCAGTCTTGCCTGGAATTTCTTGTGCTTCATTCTTAATCTCTTGTGTCATCTCAGGCAGTAGCAAGTGAAGAACAGTATTTTAAGAATGAAATGGTACAAAAACCTTTCTAAATAAGGAGTTTGAATGAAAAAAAATGAAGATACTTTAAACAAGAGTACCGTGCTATAAATTCTGTGTTCAAGAAAAGCTGCTTACTTTGAAAAAGTGAAATTGGATTTCAAGAGTGTTTACATTGCTTTACATTAATTTAGTACTTTTTTCTTTTCCCCTGAAAGTGATAAATTTACTTTCAGTAGTGAATTTCGGACTGCTTTACACCCTAAAGTACCCAAATAAGTTAAAATTTATTTATTAATTAAATTTATAGCTAGGTTGATTCCTGAATTCAGTGTGACAGCACAGTTTTCCTTCTCCTAGTAACCAAAGTTACTTTTGTGTATTAACTTAGATCCTTTATGATGATGGGAAAATGGAGGTTGATGGACGTGCTACTCAAAAGTTGATCACAAACTTGAAGCCAGAGACATCATATTCATTTGTCCTGACAAACAGAGGGAATAGTGCTGGCGGCCTTCAGCACAGAGTAACCGCAAAGACTGCGCCAGACGTACTTCGCACAAAGCCAGTCTTCATTGGAAAGACCAATTTAGATGGCATGATAACTGTGGAACTTCCAGAAGTACCCTCAAATGAGAATATAAAGTGAGTGAATGAATGACATACCATTGTTTTTAACTGCAAAGAGATGATCTTTCTAACTCTTGATGGTGGACCACGGCTTTATTCTGCATAAAGAATTATGAAGTACAGAGACTACAGTACTCTGCAGTAGTATTTGATCTAATATCGGTGTAATGTTTGCTATAGTAAGCTGGGAGGTGCTGTTGACTCTCTCAAGGAGCAAGAGGCCTTACAGAGGGATATAGATAGATTGGAACACTGGGCAGTCATGAGTGGCATGAAAATTAAGAAGAAATGTCAAATTCTGTTATAAAGGTCCTTGAGTACATTCAACAGGGGGCAACAAAACTGATGGAATGACTGAAAAAAAGGTCCTGTAAGGAGCGGCTAAAGGCCTTGAGCTTGTCTAGTTTGGAGAAAAGAAGGCTAAGGGCTGACCTCCTTGCTCTCTGCAGCATTCTGGAAAGGAATGTCCTGCAAGGAGCTGCTAAGGGCTTTGAACTTGTCTAGTTTGGAGAAACGGAGGCTGAGGGCTGACCTTCTTGCTCTCTGCATCTTCCTGAGGAGGGGAAGTGAAGAGGGGGCTCCTGATCTCTTCTTACTGAGATCCATTTATAGAACATGAGGCAATGCCTCAGAGCTGCATCAGGGGACACTCAGATGTATTAGGAAGCTTTTGTTTACTATGGGAGTCTTTCAAACTGGAAGAGGCTTCCTAATCAGGCTAATGTGCCAAGCATGTCAGTGTTTAAGACGCATTTGGATGATCCCCTTAATTTGTTTTAATTTTTGGTCAGCCCTGAAGTGGTGAGGTAATGGGAATAGATGATCACTGTATGGCAGTTCCAACTAGAACTCTTAAAAGTTTGTCACATAAACAAGTATGTAAGATTTGTATGGAGACTGATTATCTTTCAGTTTTCAGATTTTTCTCAGTAATTTTGTATTTCATCATGGACTGCAAAATGAAGGATGCAGAAAACAAGTTATATTTTCAACAAACAATCCCAAAAAGAATGGATAAGCCATCAATGCAAAACTACCCTACTGTATCTCCTTAAAGTACTTAGACTAAGTCACTCAAGAATTATATTGAGTTTTAAAGAATTGGTACTGCTTTAAATTAATTCAGATTAATTATTTCTGATAGTTTTATCAGGATAAAAATACCTTGTCCTCTCCACTGGTCTCAGAAGGAAAACAAGAGGTTAAGCTAAAAAAATTGGAAGTTTTACAGAGGTTACATGAATTTTGGAATGGAACAGGTGGTGTGGAAATTTAAACAGAAACAGGACTAAAGACCCGAGAACACGTGGTCAGCAGGGATTAGAAAGGTTAGGCAATAAAGATTTGCCAGGAAAACATGAAGCATGATACAATCAATAAGTGTTGTTGCTCTGCTTATAGTGATTCCTGTTGATCTGCAAGGTTCCCATATGTAATGTAAAGGAAATGGGGAGGAAAATGAGCCAGTCACTAAATGATGGGGATTCAACGTGTCCTCTCCCTGCTGAATTTTTTACAGCTTTCTAGAAAGCTGCCCCCTTTTTCATTACCGACTGAAGATTTTCAGGCAGGTAAGGTCAAGAAATAAATGACTTTGAAACATTAAAATGATGAAAAACTGAAAAATGTAGTCATTATCATTAGATTGAGTAAGATGTGGTCAGTAATAAATGCAGCTAAGGAACACTGAGGATGGAATGAGTCAAAAAAGATTTATGAGGCAGAGCAGTTAGAGAGAGAAAAATGTGCAGGATAGCTGATTGAACAGCAACAGAAGATAGCACTGGAATAAAAGACAATCCCTTTTCTTTTATATAGTGTAAAAACGTTAAAGAGGCTAAGTGACATCAGAAAAGGTACATTAAATCTACAGGGTCCAACTGCCAATTTTGCAAATTATGAATCTCCTATTTGTGCATCTGTTTTCTAAGATTTGATCAGGCTTGAAAAAGTAAAACACAGGCTTGACCCTTGGAGCAGGCACACTAAAGCAAGTACATACTGAATAGAAAACCTGACCTGATGCTTGCACCAATAAAATAAGTAAAGTTATTCTGCATTAGTCTTTATATGGAAAGAACAATTTCATGTATTAGTCAAGCTGACATTTTTAGATATGCTGTTCCTGTATTGGTACATTATATGTTCAGAATTGTCACTGGCTTACAATGAAGTACTGAGAATTTTTCAATACTAATTACACAGAAAGTGAAACAGGTAATAGATTGCTCTAATGAAGTGTAGGTATTGAGATTGAGGGTAATGTTATAAAAGCCTTTGTAATATTTGTAATTAAAGAAGGTAGTATTTATCAATGTTTAATGGTGATACAGGATAAAAATTGCTGCAGAGCTCACATTATGATTAGTAAAATAATCTCTTTTGCTTGTCTCAAGGAATCAAGTTCTTAATTTTTATTTCTTTTAGTATTTTGGGCTATTTCCAAAACAATTTTTTTGTGTAAAGGACAGTCCATGTTTCACTGAATCTCTAACATCTTTGAAAAGTCTTAAGTAAAAGCAGAGTTTTGTGGAAGACTTTGACATCTAAAATGCTCTGTAGATAAAATAATATCCAAATAAACTGTTTCTCACCCTCTTCCCCCCTCTTCCATGGAAAAAACTCCAACCTAAAAACAAACAAGCAAATAATGAAGTAAACTATAAAATGTGTTTTTCAGGAGGTGCTACATTTTGCACAATTAAGTAAAAATCACAGAACTTTGTTGTCCTTCACAATTTGCAGCACTGCATATTGGTGTGAAAATTTTCATTTTTCTACTTACTATTGATCTGCTTATTCTTTCAGTTTAAAAATGTGCTGAAAGTAGATTTTCAAAGTTATGAGAGAGAGACTTTCATGAAGGAAGTGACAAAGAGTGTGAAAGTTACAATTATGTGATGGATGTTCCTTGATTGAAAAGAAAAATGTATGAACACTCTGTTAGCTTAAAAAATAAAAGTATGAAGAAAAATAAAATAAAGGGATAAGTGTGTATCTTTGATGTTTGAAAGACATAGAGGAGCAAGTTCTCATTTCTTTTTGTCTTGATTCTTAGATATCTGTTAAAGAAAGGATATGTCACTCAGTGTTTACTAGGATTTGCTATTCAAAGTATTTTTAATAGACCAATGCAGGTTTAAAACCTGGGGTTAGCTACCCTTAAGAGTTTTAATTTTTTTTAAATTATTTATAATATTATCACTATAAGAATGCATGCCACAGATATTGTTTGAGGTAATGGAATACAACAAGTGGACACGAGTAAAAAATCTGTGGGCAGCACTGCTTTCCAGAGCTCCTGTTGGAGCTTAGCATTTCCACAGAAATTTTCCTCAAATTTCTTGACATAAATATTAATGAATACACGTACTTTCTACAGGAGCTGAAAATCTAAAGTTTTGTTACATTTATTTTATGGGAAAGAGCTTTAAATAAGAAGAGATTTTTTTTTTAATAGATCAATGTCTTGCACTGTTGTGGTAAAAAAGATAGTTTAGGGTTGGCTTAGACTGAGATGGTTTTTAGCCAGTATTAAGGCAGCTCCTTTTCTGTAGACTCTTTGTTAATTACTTAGGATTTTCAGCTGCTTTTCATGAGTAAAATTAATAGTTTTGCAGAAGGTTGAATGGATTGTAAAAACAAAGCAGACTGGAAGAGGAGATGGCCCATGAGACACTAAAATTATCTTCCATAATGAGACCCAGAAACAACTTAATAAGCTTTTGTTACCAGAAACAAAGTAAATGTTTCTTTCCCTCTCCCCTGATATGGAGAGTGCTTGACTTTTTGACAAGTATGTTTATCAAGAAGATGTATATTATACTACTCTGCATGTCCTGCTGTTGTAATTCCACTGCTTCTTCCCTCACACTAATGTGAAGTTATGGATCTGCCTGACACATATCCAGGCCTTGTGAAGCAGCGAAAGTACCAGATCTCCATGACACTAGAAAATACAATTTTCTCCCCTCCGTGAGTGGGGAGGAAGAAAATATTATTAGGGAAATATTTCTGAGGAAAACTGATACTTGTAATTTACAAATCCTAGATATAACGAGAGTATATATCAGGCTCTCCTACCTATGACTGTGAACAAGATACTTTTGTAGCTAGAGCTGGCAATGTAGATGGCATTTGATTGTCAAAAGGAAAGAGAGTATGGGTGCGTTGTATGTCCTATTTGCTTCCTTTTCTCTTTATTAGGATATTGGCATTAAAAAATACATTCTTTAAACCTACTGTTCTGATTATACATTAAAATGGGGGACGATTGGTTGGTAATTGAGATTTAAATATATGGTAATATATTTCAATTTAGGGCTTTGAGGGCTTTTTTTCAGTGTGATGGTGGCAGGGCATACATACCTATGGTTCTTATATTTCATGTTGGCATTTTAGTACATTGTAATTAAAGTTTTTTATAAATATTTATATGTTTGCACAAAAAGGCAGATAATTGGTGCTATTTGTTTGTCAAATGCTTTACAACTGATGCTATTTCAAGAGTGTGAATGTTTACAGCTATGTTTGGAAGGCTGCCGTGACATATTAATGTGCAGAAGTTTATTTTCAACACACCACTTTTCTCTTAAGTTCCTCTAAACAGACCACTCCATCAATTTATCTGTTCCTTTTCATTCAACTTCTCTTTTGTCCAAATTTGTCATTTACAGAGGCTATTACATAGTTATTGTGCCTTTGAAGAGGTCTCGTGGAAAGTTTATCAAACCATGGGAGAGTCCAGATGAAATGGAATTAGATGAGGTAGTGTATACAGTTTGTTTTTTTGGTTTTTTTCTTCTCCTTTATTGAAGAAGCAGTCTTTCTAATTTTAGGTAATTAACTCACCACTTCTAAAAGTTTTGTCAGGATACTTTATATTTGTATTAGCCTGTGGAGATCCAAAATAAAAATCATATTACTTAAATGAGAACACAGTATAGACATTAAGTTGCAATAAAGAACACAAAGTGTCTTATATTTTATTCTTTTTCTATTGTAAAGAGTGATGCAAAAGTGCAGGAGGTGAAATGACTTGTCAGCAAAAGCTTAATCACCAACAATATGAACTGTAATAAAGGTCTGGTTCATTAGAGGGGTGTTTACTAAATCTGTAACAAATGCTAAATTGCAATTTGCACCGCAGTTTAACATTTGACCTTCTGGTAGTGTTTTTACCTGATTGTTATATACTGTAATACTTCTGGTGAGCATAGCCTCTATTCCATCAACAGTTTGTGATCAGAAATTAATCCGTGAACAAGGGAGGAAAGAGCAACATGGTGTCATCATTTGAAACTATAAATGACATTAATCCAAGGGGAGTAATTACTTTCCTTTTATAAATAAGCCCAGCAATGCTAGAAATCAATTAAGTATGTTATTGATATAGTAATAATTCCAGGAAATACAATATTCACCTCCATTTTCTGTTTTACTGAAGGACAGTATAGCTCATGCAAAATTGTCCTCCTTCTTTCAATCTGTAAATCTGTAGTAATGCTATTGTTTGTTATTTTAAAATTCTTTCAAGGACCCCATATGAGAGACTTTTACAAAAAACAGGTAGTAGTGTTATTATTTTTCTCGTTATATCTGGTCAAGATTTTAAATAACATTCAAATGCTGTTGTATTTTGTACATGAAGATGTCTGCAATTCAAGACCAGAATCAGGGGTTTTTACTCCTGATATAGTGTCCTTTCAACTGTATCTATTTTTCTATTTTCTCTTGGTGGATTCAAGAGATTTATGTTACAGAGATAACCTCACCATATGCTTCCCCATAACACAGTTAGTTACTGGGAAGTGTTGATCACCTGCAAGCAAGCATAAAGGTTCTTTTCTTTCCTGCCATTGACAAAATGGATATAAATTTCGAATTTTGCACCAAAATATAGGGAGAATACAGATCTTTACCAAACTAAGTGTTGTAAAAAGCATTTGAAATATAAGCAGAATTATTTCAGTCCTTGTCACAGCAACAGGCAAGTCCTTAGTCAGAATATTAAAAAACAACTGTTCAGAGGAAGGCATGATGACTAGCTGATTCAACCCTATGTGTCTTCTTGACCAATTCCATTTATGTGATCATCTCTCTTCATTCAGTTGAGCAATGGCTTTGATCTATTAACTTCTTCACTTTTAAAGAAGTTGGATTGCAAATGCCATCAACTCCTGATCGTAGTCATAGGTGACATCAAGTACAGTTAAACATTAAAACCTTGACAGCCACATCCATGCAGTAATGGAAACTGATTGAGTATTACCACCCTCTTTTAACATCCAAAGGCTGTAGTCACATTTAGCAGCATGAATAGATTAAAGGATAGTTGCCAGATGACATTGAACTTTCTGGCAATTAAATTCTATGGTTCCTGCTGATTCTCATAACAAAGGGTCATTTTAATCATCCTGCAAGTTGTGTTGCCTTACTCTGTATAACAGATTGATAAAGAACATTTATTAATTCAGAAATATTTGTGTCAGGATGGGTTGTTTCCCACTTCTACTGATATAATTGAGTCCACATTGTAGAATTAATGATGGAAGAAATAAGATATGCATTGACTGGAAAATGAAGTTTTTTCTGATAAAGAACTAAAGCCTTGATATATCTTTTGCAATTGCCACCAATAATATAGCAAGAACTGAGCAGGGAAAAACATTAAAAGCAGGCAGCAACTGCATATCATGCAAACTCTTTGAGGTTCTATTACTTAAAAGACTGGTTTGCTTCCAGCTTTGGAAATTATGCATTTTATTAAGAGTGCTACTCCTGACAAGTTTGTGAACACAATAAATACATTTGGAAAAAAATAGCAAAAACAACAACAACAACACACACACATACACACACACACACACACAAAAAAAAAAAAAAACAAAAAAAAAAAACAAAAGAAAACCAAACCAAACCAAAGAAAAAATGAGCCAAAAAAACCCAAAATAAAAACCAAACAAATAAACATAAAACCCCAACAAATTTAAAAAACCAAACAAAATCACACAACCACCCCCCCCAAAAAACACTACTCTCTGGGCAAATAGTTCTGATGATCAAGTGAGGATACTTATACATATTTATATTTTAAGTATGATCTGAGATATGTGTCTGCTATCAGAAATGGTTGGGTAATAGATATTTAATAGAACTATGTTCCAAATACTTTGTTTAGATTGTCAGAAGGAAAGTATTTGCTAATAACACAGCTCTTGAGTATAACTCCATTTCATAATCGAGCAGTCCAAAAAGACTCTTCAGCCATATTGTGGTTACCTAATCTTCCTGATTCTTGAACCTCAGCTCTGAAAGAAACTAAGATAGTTTTTAAAAAGCAGATAATGAACTGGATGTTTGGTATCTGAAAAAAAAAAATAGAGATACAGTCCTTTTTTACTAACTCAAAATTTCTTTTTTTTTAAAAACATGAGGTTTAGTGACTTTAAATAGACTTGTCATGCAAATAAATGAAACAAAAAAAATATAATGATTTTCAGTAAGTATTACTTAGTAGGATTATTTTAGATCTGTAAGCAGTAAAACCTAAATAAAGGTTGCCATGTTAAATATTAAAATAATTCAATAATTTTATTGAAATCTGTATATAGAGTACAATAGAAGATAAATGAACAAGTAATGATATTTGGCAACAACCCAAATTCCATATGAAACATTAATGAGGCTGGAGGTTCACCTGAGGTCTACTCAGTCATGTGTAATCAATTTTACAGACAAAGTTTTTATCTACACACAAACACACCTAAGTTTAGTGGCCTCAGGTGATGTAAACCACCTTTGAAAAGTAACTAATTTTATTTGATCAGGCTAACTTTTAGCATTCATAGCCAAAACACAGTTTCTGATTACTCTAATACTGTACTTCAGCACTGCATTTTCTTCCAATATATGTGTTTTGTTATTATTTCAAATGCAAGAAATAATCAAGATCAAACATTTTTCTTTGCCTCTCAATCTAATTTTGATTGCAGTACTCCTACTGTACCTTAAAATTTTGAGTTATTTAAAATCTAAATTGTAAATACGCTGCAATCTGGAACTATATGATAAAGAATAAAGAATTTAATTGAGGCAGGCACACAACTTTAATTCCAGTGGAAGTGGTACATGGAGGTATCCATTATCTTTGGGGATGGCACAAGCCGCATACCTCTACTAGTGCTGTTGTGTTTCTGGCTCCTGACTTTACAGGAGTAGCGTGCGCTGTTACTACCCAATATGTTACTACCTTCATGTTTTGGCAGACTTCCAGATAACCAATGCTCAGCACTCTGCATAGCCCTTGTTATAAAATGTGGCATCATACAGAGACAAACTTTACACAGTGCTTCCCTCAGCAGATCTTATAAGGGCTGATCTAACCTGGAACAATCTTTGACTATTCTCTGCCTCATGTTCTGCATTTAATAACTTTTCCCAGGGCACAGGAAGCTACCAACAGATGTGAGAGTCACCTTCAATAAAGTAACTAAATAGAAATCTCTTCAATATTATGGTTCTCTGCTGCCCTCATTTTTATACGACACAAATAGACTCTAGCTGCTCATTAAACTGTTTAGGAAGAATGAAAGAGAAATATGGACTGCTGATTGGAATCGTGTCCTTGAGTAATGAATAATGATTTCTAGTCTCAAATTATGGCTAGTTCATTTTTGGCTCAGGGGATCCATTGCACTGTACCAGCTTTTGTGTCATGGCATTGAATTTCACAGAGGTAAATGGATGTAAAATCTCTGCAACAGGGCACAGACACAGCATTAGACCAGGAAAGCAGTTGACTGCTTAGATGTTTGAAGATATAACATCCAAATGCCCTCAATGTTAAGGAGGCCTGTATTCAAGTGGCACAACTTGCTTTCATATGTATCTGTAACCTTCAATTTAGTGAGTAAGAAGGGGTATCAAATTATTCAGTTTTAAAAGCTTCTTTCTGAGTAGTAGAGTGAATATTAGGTTGCTTTACATGCATTGCAATTGTGAATTGTGCAAAATACAAGATCCCGTGAGGGGAAGACAAAAAGATGTGCTCACTGAGCTGTGGCTTAAATCAAAAGGGCATGGAATATGGTGAGGGGCCTTGAGGATGGAGGCACATGGAATGACTCTTGGGACTGTCCTGTGCAGGGCCAGGACTTGGACTCACTGATCCTTGAGGGTCTCTTCCAACTCAGCATATTCTATGATTCCACGATTCTGTGGAGAACTTCCCTAACTAGATATGTACTTGGAAATTAATATATATAGTTAAGACTGGATTTTAGTATCTTTTCTTTTTTATCTCCTTCTCACTCCAGAGATTTGTTTCCTCCTTCTAGAAATGAATTTTGTGCTAATCTACTGTATTAGGAGTGTTAGTGTGCTGAAAAGACTAAACAACTACTTAGAAAAATCTGTGCTTTAACTATAAGACTGCAGGACATTGTCTAAGTTTCATAAGCAAAAACAAGGGAACCACAAAGAGACCTTAGAAGTCATAATTTAACACACAGGAGAAGTTCAGACTCCTTGTAATCAAATCAGACTAATTTTTGTGGAATGCTGTTATATGTAAAGCAAAAAAAGGTATTGAAAAAGCATTTATCTGATTTAATAAGTAATTCATCAATAGATTATACTAGCTGAGCTTAAGTTTCTTTATTAGTAAGTGTATGTTTTCCAAGCTTGAGCCTACCATCTGATCTTGTCAAAGATGTACTGATGTAAATTTTATCTTTGTTTATCAGAAAAAGTGATTTAGTCACCATTTCTGGAGGTATTTAAAAAGATTTGTAGTTTTGGTGATTAGGGACATGGTTTAATGGTGGACATGGCAGTGTTAGACTAATGGCTGGAATCAGTCTTAGAGGTCCTTTCCAATATACTTGATTTTATGATAGTATTCTATAAAGAAATAGATAGATAGATAGATAGATATTAAATATATTAAAAAATAGATTTTTTAAAATAGATAGAAAATATGTAATATGTTATGTGTATTTATATATCTTCAGAGAAAATATGTTGTTTTCTTATTCTCCCTCTCCCAACCTCCTCCTAGACACAGCAGTACCTAAAAATTGTTTTATGTTTGTAGTCTGGGCACTGCAATTGCCTCCTAGTATTTAATCCTAACAAGAACTATAAGAATTTGGAAAATTTTGCAATTGATTTAGTGATAATGATATGTCCCATGAAATGTAGATAAATTGTTTTTTGTAGTTCCTGGTCATGCATTAAATGTTCTCATTACACTGTCAATAAGTTATGTTAAAATTGTTTACAGTTATCTTTCTGTTCATGCTTGCTCTCTCTCTCTCTTCCCCCGCCTTTCTTTTCCCTCCCTTCATTTTAAAGCTGCTTAAGGAGATAGCTAGGAAACGCAGAAGCATTCGTCTTGGGAGAGAAGTTGAATTAAAGCCATATATTGCAGCTCACTTTGAAGTTCTTCCTACAGAATTCACACTGGGGGATAAGAAGCATTATGGTGGATTTGAGAATAAGCAGCTGCAGAGTGGTCAAGAATACGTCTTCTTTGTGTTGGCTGTAATGGAGCACTCAGAATCTGTAAGTTAGTTAATGTTTTTCAATATCAAAATTACCTTACACAACCATGAAAACATTTTTTCAATGCTTATTCCACTTCTCTAAAGCTTTTTTTTTTTAATGTTATATGTCAAAGCATCTTTAAAGTGTTTCCTTACTCAATGCCTATTAATTCCTTGAACTCTTCTATTGTGTTTGCACCTCTGTGTATTACTTCGGTGTATAACTGAAACCTAAGAGTCACCTTTTATTAGCTGTGTCATGATCCTTTGAAAAATTACATTGTGTACTATTTTTGACCATGGATGCAGCTTTTGAGACATGAACTTTACAGCAGCATCTTTATGTATTTAAAAGAATTTAAAAGCTGGGTTTTGGTGCTACCATTGATACCTCTGTCTAGGATATACAGAGTTCTTGGAAAGATCCATTGAACTAGAGACATGCACAGCTACCTCTTTAGTATGTCGTTCCATAACAATTTATCAGTAAATTTTTAGAAAGTTAGAAAATAATTCAATAATAGGGAAAATTCCTGAGGTGAGCTAAATAATGAGCTGTCATTTCTCTTTACATAATTCATTTTGTAGTCACACCCCTTTATGTGTGAATTAAGCTTATGCATGTAATGTATTAAAAAAGAAAAAAAAAAGACAGATGTAAGACTTTTGAAAGATGCAATACACATTAGCATTTTAACATACAGTGTGTAATACAGCATGTTTCTAATTCATAACTAAACCTGACAGGTACATTTGCAGGTTCAATCACTTGAAACTCCAACACAAATACTCTGCATTCTAGTCAAATGCTTGCAGTGTGTAACTCTGCAATTGCTTTCTTGGTGTCAATGGAATGTGCCTATTTAAGCACGATGGGGAGGTAGTTCCACTTTGAATACTTTTAGACACGTAGCTTCATTTGAAAATAAAGTGCCTCCTGCCTGCTGTAACATAAATCAAAAGTTCTCTTGTCACTTTTTGACATGGGTTGCATAGACAGATAATTCTGAAGGTATTGAATCAGATTGGAGAAGGTAAACAGCTTTTTACTATAAAGTTAAGAGGCCATAAATCTGTATATCATAAATTACCTATACTAAAATGAATCTTCTCAATATAAAGTGCATTTTTTTGTGGGTTTTGTATTAATTAAGGTATAAATGACTTAAATGTATTGCTTTGTTAGAAATCAGGATGAAAAAGCAGGAACAAATAGGTTTGTAAAACTGACGCATATGGCAAAATGTATATAGGATCCTACTCTTGAAAGACTTCAAAAGGCATTAATGAACTTAGGCTATCGATAAGACATTTCAGCATGCCATCTGAAACATCTGTGTGATTGAGTAGCATTGAGGTAGTCACAGATTGTGAAAAATTTTTTAAGGGTGTGCAAGATTCAGTTTTCAATGACTTTCAATGCTTCAGTGTATCAGCTCCCAGCATATATAGCTGATTTTCTTCTAGGACTACAGGTTCTACTGACGTAACTTGCAAGTGATGTTTTTCTGATGTTCAGATGTTACATTTTACATAAGGCTTCTTATTCAGAGAGCACAAAATTTCTCTCTTGATTGGTAGAATAGAGAACTTAAATTAAAAGAGGTCATGGGAAGGTCTGAATTTGTTTAACTTAGTAAAATGGGAGCTGGAGAGCTATGATTAAAATTTATAAATATGTTAAGAATGTCATCAAGAGGAAGGAAAAAATAAGATAAATTTTTAAAATAATAAATGAGTATAAATTTTTCATTAATACAGGATGGTTTAAATGGAAAGTGAAATCCTATTTATTGAAGAAAAGGTAGTAAGTGTTTATACTCTTGCCCTCAATATCCATCTATATCTTTTTACAGGCATTTTTGCTGCCCACTCCAAAGCAAGAAGAGAAATATAAAGAGTTTCTTCTTGTATCAATGAACATTTTTATATTTCTTGAGAGTACTAAACCTGGGGAAAAAAAAAATCAGTCTACTTGGGTGGTACAGGAATGCAAAGTGAAGACTCCCCAGTTTTCAGACAATGGTCATAGACTTAAAACATGGCGAGGTTTTGATGTCAGATGCCAGGTGTAGTGAAATCCTATAACATAACTGGAGATTGTTGGCATAGGTGCTAGCTCAGTAACAATAAGTGACTCAGCTTTGCCAATCCTAATCCTGTCTCAAACCCAGACACTGTCATAGCCCAGAGCCCAAAACACGGCCAAATGAAGTGTAAAAAACTATGTCTCCTTTGATAACACTTCTCTTGGCTTAGGGCATCTTTCAGAATACAGTGCAAACATAAATGGAAGCTAATCTCTTCTCCCAGTTATCTTACTCTGTTTTAGCTGACATTTCTGATCTACTACTGAATCAAGTTTTTAAGTCTTTTGCAAGATCTCTAGTTCAAATCCTAGTTTAGTGCTGATGAAGACACACTAGCACAGATAAGAAATATGTACAAACAGTTTTGCACTTCTGACTTTACTATAACTCAGAATTCTTAAAATAATCCAGTTTTAGCAGGCTGACTCTTCAGCCTCTCTGGTCTGTAATTTTAACTCTGCACTCAGCCACAGATGAAACATCTCAGGTCAGACAAGAATTAAAAAAAAAATCTCTTACCACAGATTTTATCCTAGGCCACCTGGCTTTACATCATCTAGTAAACCAAAGAGTTTCAACAGTCTGTTGGTTTATAATTCTAGTATCATCTTTATGAAAGACTGAGTGTTTAGCTTCCATTCATATTCTACAATGAATTCTCCCATTTTTCAGTCTTAAATTCAAGTTTTCTCCACCTTGTGTAGATATATTCTGTCAGACAGTTTTTGACTGGTCAAAATGCACAGTACTATTGTTGCAAGACCCTTTTCAAGGAACCTTTTACATTCAGTCCCCTTTATTTTTATCTAAAGCAGTCTTGTTATGTCACAAGTACCCTTTCATATCGTGCAGGAGGAAAGTGTTAAGCTGGCATGAAACTAAAACAAAAACTAAAAACTGGTCACTGGTGGGCTATTCTCAGTGTCCTGTTCGTTTTTTCATTCTCTGCTTAGGTTGCAAAGTGTTCTGCAAGGACTCTGCTGCATGATTTGTCTGCAGGTCATTGCTAATATGTGGAACACAAAATAAAGATGATAATAACAACACTCTGTTCAATTTGCAAGTTTGTGTATTGCCTTCAAGAAAAACAGCATTTGCAGTTTGCTGTGTTAATTGCATCATTACCTTCTATACATTTATTTTAGATGTGGGATAGCTAACATTTTAATGCATTGCTTCATGATTAAGTATGAATTATTTTTATTTCTACAGACCATGTATGCAACAAGCCCATATTCAGATCCTGTTGTGTCAATGGATCTTGATCCCCAGCCAATTACAGATGAGGAAGAAGGCTTGATTTGGGTTGTTGGACCAGTTCTTGCAGTGGTGTTTATCATCTGTATTGTTATTGCTATACTTCTTTATAAAAGGTAGGTTTACCTTCTAATTTTCTTGCAAGGTATGTCGTTTTCCCTCTATATTGGTCACTTTGTAATACTGTTCTAGACTGTATTTTTGTGCTGCAATATTAACTGTCATTGCTTTGGAACATTTTGAAATTTATCAATGGCTTCTAGACTGCTGCAGAAATTTTTGACTGAAAATTTCCAATAATTACAGGTATGTGAGTACATTTTTCTGCTGATTACACTATATTAACTCTATTGCATTTAAATGTTTTTTCCACTTTGCATACATTTGTATGCAAAGATACATTTGTATGCGAAGAAAGTAAATATGAGCTTACACATAAATATGTATGGAATTTGCACATTTGACTTTTTAGAACTTGTTTATAGATGTATAATAGTAATGCATTAGGGGTTACATTCAGCTTGTTGTTAAATGTGATTTTCATCTCCACTCGAGTAATTTGAATTTCAACTTTTGACAGTTGGCCTCAATTTGGCAATGTATCTATCTGAATTTGGAGCTCTAAACTGAGAGATTAAAGAGACATCAAATAGCTGGTTCCTACTAATCTTACAATAATATCAAATTTCACTCATTCTTCTTTCACTCTCTATGACACAGATTTACTTTTGCTCTTACACAAAGGACTTCCTTCTGCCTTACAACATACTCAGTGAAAACTGTGTATGATGCCATAATTTATATTTAGCAGCCTTTTACAGTGTAAATGAATTAACACGGGTCAAGGTAGTAAATCAAAACCAAAGAATAAAACTCAAAAACTTCTTTATTTAATTCCTAATACATTTTTGAAATATATTGATAAAGTAGATTTGACTTATATTACAAAGATACTGCCAATTTCTGGGGAGGGGGTACACTAGGAATAATTTTATAAAATGAAGCATGTCTTCTAAAACTAATGGCTATGATGCTATTATGTGCGTATAAATATTTAAATCCTAGCCTGTATGCTCTTCCCACCTTTAGTGTCTCCAGTCAAATACCTCTTAAGTTTCATGAAGATAGCTCTCTTCAGGTTTTGGAAAAAATTCTCTGTTTGGCAGTAAATAACCACTCCAGAGTTAACTTCACCTTTAGATTCCAGATAGATATACATTTATAGAATGGTTTCAGGGCTAGAATCATACAGCATCTATTGCTTACAGATACTACATCTGAACATTTCTGGTAGTTCATAGTGTCTCAGGCAATCAAATTAGTTACCAACTCTATTTCTGTCCATCACTTCAAAAACTGGTCATTGGAAATGTGCTAGAAGTGAAAAACTCCTTTCTTCTAATTATTTTAAAGTAAATTTTCTCCCATACTACAAAAGAAATCCAAACAATAGTCTATTAAGTAGATGTGCAACTGCTTCTAGAGTTACAGATTACATTTATGAAACCAAAATAACAATCGTCTAATTATTAAAAAAAAACAAAGGGAATATTCCACATATAAGCAGGTAAAATTTGCTCATCAATAGTATGAAGAGATTGTCATTCGCTAAGAATGGGGCACATGTTTTCCATCTGTTATTTACTACTTGTACTGGAACTGTTTGGGCAACTGTCCATATGTATTTATTTATTTTTCTATTTTCAGCTGTTTACTCTAATTTGTTAAACTGCACTGATTTGGCAAATTACCTCCGACAAATTATGACTGCAGTTTTAGCAGTCTGTGTCCTCTATGAGCTTTTATTTCTATAAAAATGTAGTATATAATTGGATATTTTTTCCAAGAGTAGGCAACCTGAATGCAAGCTTACTGCTACATTTTGATAGATTTGCTGACTGTAGAAAGGCAATGACAAGACAGTTGGGATATTTAACATATTGCTTCAAGAAAACAGTGAAGTTTAATTTGTGAGTTAAATAGACTTATGTGGCTACAGGAGTTAGATGGGAAAAATATATTAAAGAAACGGGCAAACAAGTAATTTTTGTGGATACAGAAAATTTTACAAGTATATTTCTAGAATATATTGGGGTATAAGTGCAACAAGTATGATAGTGAGAAAAGAAAATAGAGGGCATCAATCTAATTATGAAAATATATGCAAAAAATATTACTGAGGATTTTGTTAAAGAATATGCAGTGCAAAGAGAACAATCAGTAAATGACTGTGTCTTCTGAAGTGCAAAGAGTAGTAACTCAAATAAAGGTCAACTGTGCTTAATTCCCTCTGTCCATAGAAACCTTTTTGTACAGACTTGGACCACTAAGCTCTTGATTTACAATATTACTTATACATTTTAATTACAATTACAGAGAAATTACGACTACAGCTTCCAAAAGAATAATTTTATGGGGAGAAGTCTTCCCCTTCTTTAAAACAGACATCATTAGATAGTGTGGATAAGTTTCATGGGTTGGTCTGAAGTGCATGTAACTGTTCCAAAGACAAGGAATGCATGTTTGAACTCTTTAATATTTGTTGTTAAGCTACAAAAAAGTTATTGCCTCTGCATTTACTTTTCCTAAAATCTGAAAGCCAAGATATTTAATGGACAGGTTTTTGGGTCATGTATTGGAATATAGCCATTGTCATTGCAGCTTAGTAAGTAACAGTAATAGATGAAAATAATACTGAAAAATATGTTTTCTTATCATTGGGCATACTATCAGTATAATAGCCAACACAGATGAAGCCAATTAATATCCTGTTTGCAGAACTCACAGATTCCCAGAATCAAAAGGACAGACCTCTGGAGCATGTCTCATCTCAGCCCTGTTCAGAGCATGGTCACCTGCAGCAGTTTGCTCAGAGGCGAAGTTTTGTATAGCTAAGAAAAGAAACTCAATGACCTTTCTGGGCAACTTGTTCTCATATTCAACTATCTTCACAGTAAAAGCTATTTTTTCCTGAGTTACAGTTGACTGTCTTGGCAAATGGAACTGACTTGGCCATTAACCAGTTCAGTGCTCTGCCCTTGCAGCAGTGTAACCACCCTGCAGTCATAGTAAATGGAGACACCTATTTTGGAGTAGATTTTTCCATCTATTAAACTTTATAAACAATCAAATCAAGGGATTCAAATAAATTAGATAAATTATGTGTTATTTTTGGCCATTTTCTTGTTGACAAGAAAATAAAATTCTTCTTTGTTTGAAGATGGAGTATCATATTCAGCACAGCAAGATTTTTATCCAAAATCTCAAACAAAAGTAAACCTGGATAGATAGATGGTGTAAGTCCTAGAAGAAATGCCTAACCATTTGGAGGTCTGCTTGAGTCACAGTTTACATATATTTTATGTGTTTGATACATGCTCAGTTACATAAGATTTGGTTGGTTAGGAACTTAGCAAATATTAAAAAGCTCTAGAAATTGTGTGGTGTTTCTCAGAAATGGACACACTAGAGAGAAAAGTGATTGTCCCCATGATGCATCCTGTCATCTCATTCTCAGGTTTTGGGTGCATTTTTCTTTTTTTTTTTTTAAATTTCAGTTTTCCACTGATGAAGAGCAAAAGGTTCCTCATTCTAGATCTTTAATTTTTAAGGAAGAGAAGTTAAAGCCATCTTGACAGACTTTTTATTGTTTGCTTTTATAAAGTGCAGCTTTTTGATTTGATTCAGAAGACTGTATCCTAAACTTAAATCTTTTGAACATAGTAGCTCCAGCACTCTGAATCATAGCATCATAGGTTAGTTTGGGTTGGAAGGGACCTTTAAAGGTCATCTGGTCCAACCCCCTGCGATAAGCAGGGATATTTTCATCTAGGTCAAGTTTCTCAGAGCCCCATCCACAGGTCTTTAAAGTATCTAGGCATAGGGCATCCATCACATCTCTGGGGAATCTAATTAAATACTGCTTCATAGCCTTCATTATAAAAAAAAAAAAAAATTCTTTCTTCTGGCTAGTCTGAATCTACCCTCTTTCATTTTAAAATCTTTACCCTGTGTCCTGTCATTATGGGCTCTACTATAAAAGCCTGTCCCCATCTTTCTTATAAGCTCCTTTAAGTACCAGAAGGATGCAAGAGTGTCTTCCAAAGCCTTCTGTTGTCCAGGCTGAACAATCCCAGTTCTCTCAGCCTTTCTTGTTCCATCCCCCAATGATTTTTGTGACCCTTTTCTGGATTTACTCCAACAGATACATGTATTTTTTGTACTGATGACCCCAGTACTGGATGCAGCACTCCTGGTGGGGTCTCATCAACTGGGGTAAAGGGGCAGAATCTCCGCCTTTGAACTGCTGGTCCCCTGCTGAATCTTGAGCTATAAGAAGAAATACACTTCTAAAAGAAAATGTTAAGATGTTAAAAAAAAATTTAAGAATCACATAAATGCAAAACAGAAATATAGGAAATCTTAAGTCATGATGAAGAATTTCAAATACTTTCTCATAATGTGTGTAATCTGGTCATTGCAGAGTAAAAGATAATAAAGTATTTGTAGAATCCCTGTTTATTATGAACAACACAGAGAAAGATAAACACTGTAGTTATAGTGTGTGTGTATAATAGAACACATTGGTGAGAGATAATAAATTATTTTTCCTGTTTACCTAAACTTTATAGATCATAGATCACTACAGATCTATACAGATTACTGTAGACCTCTAATACATGGCATTCATTCTAAACCTAAAAAGACATGTAATACTTCATTAGAAAAAGATTTATGATTCCCTTGCTTTTCAGGGTACTCTTAAAAATTTCTTGATATTTTATTAGCTGGTTTTGTAAAATAGTTTTAGAAGTTTTAAATTCTTTTTCTTACTTTTTTTTTTTAATTTAGTACAGGTCTTATGTGTCTCATATATTTAACCTTGTTCATCGCTTCCTTTTCTCTTCTTTTTCTCCCTTTCTCTTCTTCCCATTCTAGTCTGCCTTCCACTTTCACTTTTCCTCTCTTCCCTCCTCCCATTTCTATTCTCTCTAGAAAGAAAGAGGGAGCCACATCTCAGTGAGAAGTAATTTTTCAATGTAATGTTAACATTACTTTCACGGCTCAAATTAATCACCCATTCTCCATTATCTCACTGGCTAAAATTTGAAGTCTCATTTCTTGACAGATAGAAGTGTATTTTTCAACAGAAGATTCACCTGGGACATGACCTTGGGTCCTCCATTAATTCTATGATTTCCAAGAATTGAATATTTTGATGAGCTTCCATAGCTTAATTTGGTTTAGTTACATATCTTTACTGCAAATCAAAAGTTCTTGTATCTCCTATTTTCATGATTATTCTCTGTGCTGCTGATCAACTAACATTTCACCTTTTCTTCCCTCCTTGCTGCATTAAAATGGAGCAGTAAACCTGACAGGTGAGAAGTGAAAAAATAATCACTCTTCATTTAATACAGAAAAGGAGAAAAAAGAGAAAAAAGTCATCATGATAATGATCTAAGGCAAAGCATCTGTCAGTCTTAAGTGAATGTAGGCAGTAATCTATCAATGAGGGCAAGTGCAATATTTGCTATGTTATTTACAGCACTGAAAAGTAATCTAATACAAGCAGCAAAGTTTCATTGAGGTTTTTTTTGTGTCTCCATGGGATAAATTTTCAAGAGAGAGTAGAGCTCGACAATGCTCAGATGATTTTATTTGTGTTTTAGTGACATGAAATGAGTGGTTGTACACAATAACCAAAGTTCTTGAAGGAATCCATGGTTGTAATTGAGGCATTAGCTGTTCTAAATGTTCACAATGTCCAATATACATAAACTCAACACTGACTTATAGTTCTACCAGTGAAAATGATACAGTGTAATTCTTCCTTTTTAGAGTTTTTCCCCACCTATCTCAGAATCATTGCATAATCTGTAAGAATTGAAATGTCTTCTACAGGCTGGAGAGATTAAAAAAAAGCCCAGAATATTCATCCAATTACTAATACGTAATAAATCATTATGTTCTTCTATAAGTATTCCAAATATTCAGACACATGATTGGAAGAGATTTTAGCAGTTTTATTAAATTAATATTAAATTGCAGCCTGGTACTAACTTTCAAGCGGAAAAAAGTTAAATGAAGCTTGTCCTTGGACAGTTCCAGAAACTTAAGGATACTTAAGACTCCTAGAGTTAAAGAGAAAGAGGTACAGCGTAATAGACTTTTTGAAAGCTATATCACACATCTTCAGTAAGAAGAAAGAGCACTAGGGCCAATGCTACTATGAAAGGAGTTTGGAATAGTCAAAATCTAAATAAAGAAATCTCAAATGAGTTTATATGTACTAATTTTGTTTTAAAAAGACTAAAACAGAATAATCAGATTTAAATTTTTATTGCTTCACTAAAGAGAAATTAATACATATGTTAAGGTATTTGCTGGAGAACAGGTGGAGTGTTTTTACAGTAAAACTTTTTCTTTTTTCTAATAAAACCATAGGACTAGTGACTTTCAGAAATTCAGGCAATGGTATTTGACTTTTTTGCATAACTTTTGAAATCTCACTGTATGTCATGTGGTCTTCATTATTTCAAAAGCAGCAAGAAATTGACTGGAGTAATTACAGCTTTATCATTGTCACATTGTGAATCAATGAGGAAAAAAAAGTATTAAATTAATGTTAATACTGGGCACCTGGAAAACATTCTGCTGTCATTACCCTTAAAATAATCTCAGTTCTGTTTTCACAACATAAGTCTTCCTCTGTTTGCTTCTTCATTTTATGTTACATAAAAAATATCAGCCACATTGTTTTTTCATTCAGGACCCCACAGATAATTTGTGAAGAAATATTCCACTGTCTGTATAAAAATGCAGAGTGGTAGCTAATCTTCATGTAACACGGTTCTCCATGTTTTGCATCAGATAATGATACATACAGATAACAGAAGTCAGCTTTAACAAAAATGTCAGTGAGAACACACATGGATTTTGCTTTTCTCTAGAGAAAGTGAAACATAGACAACTTTCTTTCTCTTTTTTCTCTTTAATTATGTCCGTTTGTTTGTTTGTTTGTTTTATTTTCCTTCATTTGCAGTGGAAGTATTAATTTGATTAGAAATATTCATACAGATCTAAGACTTGAATATACGTAGACCTGATAAGACATATGAAGTTTGCATATTTCAGCTGTTACAAAGATGAGAGGAAACAGAGCAAATTCTTATGTCCCAGAAAGTGAAAAGAATATATGTCTTCTTGAATAGGTGTCTTCTGTACTGTTTTTTCTCATATTAAAAATACCTAAAGAATGCATATTAATTTTTTATAGCAATGCAGAGCTCTGTGTATAAGATAAGAAATATTTCATTACAATAACTTGGGGTGGTCTAGCTCAAGAGTTGGCTGCTTTTTTATAAAGGTATAGCTAGGTAGCATTTCAAATAAGAGAATTGTCTGAATTTTTATAGGTTTAGTGTTATAAAAGTAAAGTATTAGGATGACCAGAAGAATGTTCTGGAAGAGCAATTTACGGCAGAATGCAGCTAATTTCTCTCTGACCATTTTACCACTGCAAACTGTAGGTACCCTACCCACCACACATATCTATATCACCTTTGCACTGCATCAAATACTTTTTCAGAAATAAACATCTTGCCTTTAGCACATAATGCCAAACATTCAGGCACCTTTGTCAAGCTAACATCTATCTTCTGTTTATGTGTATTCACCTTCTCCATGCAGGAAGAGGGCAGAATCTGATTCTAGAAAGAGCAGCATACCCAACAGCAAGGAGGTCCCCTCTCACCATCCCACAGATCCAGTGGAGCTGCGACGCCTTAACTTCCAAACTCCGGGTAAGTGACAATAATATCACACTGAGAACTCTGTGATCACAGGCAGATTGCTGATGCTGTTACAGAAAAGAAACATGGATTGTTTGAAAATACGTATTCTGATCAAGGGTTTCGGGGGGGTGTTTTTTTGTTTGGGTTTTTTTTTGTTTTTGCTGCAAAATATGTTTCTTCATGAGCTTTTGAAATAATTAAGTAATTTCTTTATTCAAAAGAAAAGCCTGCTTCAAAAAAAATTTGAAGTTTTGTAAAAAAAAGAATCCAAAAGACACATATGCTGTATGAGTGTTCTTTATCTGCTGAAATTCCAACTTAATCATAACAATGATAGAAAATATTACTGGGAATGTACATCCCTCTGTTTATTTATGAAATGTTTATGGACACTTCTTTATAAAAAAGCTTCCCTTTTATCTACTGCATTATCAGGTAATATATTAATATCACTGTGAATTCCACTGGTTTGCAAATGTACAATACAGAAGAGAAATACATAACTAGATAAATGCTCTTGATGTTGAAAATAAGGCTGTATGGTATGGTCAAGGAGGATATTAATATGTCAGTAGTTTTGAGGTCAGAAGGAACACACTCTCAAATACTTTATTAAAGTTTTTTATTCATTAATCACTGTTTTATTAAAGCTGTTTAATCTGATAGTCAAGAAGCACAAAAAGAGAAATATTTAAAATAGTATTTTTGACACCTTGGCAGGACTCAACTTTTATTTAAATTGGTTTTGTTTTGATTATGTTCCAGTAGACTTGTTTTCTACTATAATATATTTGCATGGAGTCTGATGCTAATAAGATGCTAAATCTTCCTGATCCTCATGCTTTTGTCAAGCTTACTATAGTAAGTAAAAAAAAGTAGTCAATCCAAGTCTATAAAAGCAGGAAATTAAGTGCTTGAGATGCTGAGAATTAGCTGCTGAAGTTGACACAATAAATACTATTAAAGGGTTAAGTGAACATGCAAATCTCATTCCTGATCTTCTAAATAATGACTGTATTGAGATGTATGTTGTTGCCCTAGAAGCAGTGTCTGCAGGGTAAGGAATGTGGCTAAAGACCCACACTTCACGCACATGGCAGAAGTAGAAAGGGAAGCATCTGGAGGCTTGAGTTTTGCTCCAGCCTTGATTTTTCCTTCTGTTCCAGTACACTGCTCCTAGCAGCTGGAGCAAATCAAGTGTATTTCAGGAGCACATCTTCTAATTTAATTTCATCTTAGTGTAGGAATCTTGTTGACATGCTCTGGGACCTGTTTAGCATAGGAACTTAAATACAGTAAATATAAGTAATTGAAAGGCTTTATTCAGTGTCCTTCTGAAGCTACAATTTCAGTGGTGGCTCATTCTTTCTGGGTGAAGTTTTCATCTGTTACTCAGTACTTTTGTAAAAATTTTGAAGGGTTTTACAGTGAAAGAAACATACATACAAATCTTGGAAACATGCAAAAACAAAGATTGTTCCTAAAGTCTAGTTTATGCCTAAAAGAAGTAATTGTTTGTATGCAGATATATAATGAGTAGAGTAAATGGCTTACTAGAATCACAGAATTTTTTTGTTTACAAAACAAAAATCATTAACTCCAACCTAAAATCATTAACTCCAACCATTAATCAAGCACCTTATATTCAACAATAAACCATGTCCTGAAGTATGACACCCACATGTGTTCTGAACAGTCCAGGGCCAGTGATTCCGTCACTTTCCTGTGAAGCCTGTTTCAATGCCTGATGACCCTTTCATCATGAATAATTTCTTCCTATTATCTAATCTGAACCTCCCCAGCATACATTGAGGCCATTTCCTCTTCCTGTATGACTTGTTACCTTGGAAAAGGAGAGTGCCCCCACCTAGCTTCTTTCAGGCAGTTGTGGAGAGGACAGAGTCTCCTCTCAGCCTCCTTTTCTCCAGGCTAAACACCCCCAGCTCCCTCAGCTGCTCCTCATAGAACTTATGGTCCTGACGCTTCCCCAGCTCCATTGCCTTTCTCTGGACATGCTCCAGCACTTCAGTGTCTTTCTTGGAGTGAGTGCTCCAGAACTGGACACAGGATTTGAGGTGTGGCCTTACCAGTGCTGAGTACAGGGGCACAATCCCTACCCTGGTCCTGCTGACCACACTATTGCTGATCTGCTCAATGACCTTCCCCAGCATCAAGGACAGGTTGACAGGCCTGTAGTTTCCTGCATCCTCCTTCCTGCCCATCTTGTTGATGGATGTCCTATTTGGAAACCTCAACAAGTCAACAAGAACATCCCTATCAGGCAGGACTGCTGGTACATGAGGGAAGGAGGCTCAGTGAGTACTTTATTCAATTCCCTTACTACCCTTGGGTGTATCCCATCCAGTCTTATGCAGTTGTGCATGTCTAAGTGGTGTAGCAGGTTGGTGACCATTTTTTTCCAGGATCAGGTGACTTAAATCTGCCCCCCATATTTGTCTTCCTCAGGGGTCTGGATACCCACACAACAGTTGATATTGCTATTAAAAATTTAGGCAAAGAAGGCATTAATTACCTCAGCCTTTACCTCATCAATCGTCACTATGTTTCCCTCTTCATCTAATAAATAATTGAATAATAACTAGATAGATAAGCCTAATTTTCTGCACTCCATTTATTTAGATGCAAAATCTTACCTATCTATTTAGTATTCATCATAATTAAAATGAAACATGAGAGGAAAAAGCCCCGCTGCCAAGTGCTAACATAAAATTAATTTATTGCTATTAATTTTTAATTTACATTGGGAAGGTAAAGTTATTAAGAAATGGCAAAATTTGTGGCACTTGTAGACACTGTAATTCCACGTCATTGATCTGAAAAGAACTGGAGAGGATTTAAGGTGTACTTTTTCTTGCAGGGCTATAGTTTATCTGTGAAGTTTGCAGTTTTCTGTGAAGCTATTTGAGCAAAACATCTGTGATCTGTTTCTACTAGGAACTCCTTTGCTATAATCCTTTTTACAGACTGGAGTATTACAATTACTATTAAAAATACAGTACATCAAATGGTGCTATTTTTCCCTACCCTAGACACAAGTCAAGCCATTATTCTACTCAGCATACAACCAAATATCAAGGAGAAAAATCTTACTCCAGTAGATTTGTCTTACTCTGTTACACTTGCTAATTAACATGGTCTTAATATGTAAACAGTCACAGTGAAATCAAGGTACAGTTTTTTGTTAGTAAAAGCAGAATTTCACTTAAACTAGATTCAGTTAGGGCTACCATGTCATTAAAATCTGACTGATTTTAACTTAGGGGTTTAGATCCTACTGGAATAGTTATCCATCTCTCAACCGGAAACACACCATCAAATAATATGCAATATAAATTTTTGTAAGGTGAACATAGAGAAACTACAGAAAGGCTATACATTCAGGATATCAGCTTTGTTGGGTTTGTTGTTCTTTCATTTTCAAATGTATGGATTCTATTTTCTGTTAGGTAGCAGAACTAGACAGGGGGGTACTGCAAAGGAGGCAACTGAGGGAAGGGGCAGGGCTGATATGGTTATGTGTTGGGCTCCTTTTACTGAGAAATCTGCTGTTGCTCTGATAAAATGAGGCATTTCTCAACACTGCCTACAGATAAAAAAAAAGGGACAGAGTGGTGAATGTGCTTTCAGTACGAGTGCATCAAGGAAGATGATTTGACATAGTTGTTATTCTAATGATTTATTTCTTTAGATTATGACAGCATCCACAGTTTGCTTGGAGCTTTCCAGGCAGACTAACTACTTCCAGTGGGAGAGGAAAACAATTTTGAATGAATCCATGATGTACAGAAGTGTTAGTGAAAAAAATTCTGACTTACATTGGCATACCTGGACTGGTAGTTTTCATTCACCTTGGAGAGGTGAATGAGACACTCCTCTAAAATTATGGATTGTCATAAACTTTAGTACTTTAGAAGATTTCTAAACAATCACATTCCAAAACTGCTATCAATCATATATTTTGTAAAAGGAAAGACCTGATCAGATACAGATATCAAAATAATTTGAAACCTAAGTCCTTGGGACTTAGGAATTTCAAAATAGGAAATTTGAATTTCTAACCACAATTTTGAATTACTCCCAATAGAGAAGATTAGGTATAGACTTTTAACAAAAATATGAGATAGCGGTATTTTATCTTTGGTGATATTTAGAGAATCATTTCAGTACAAATATGTTGCACTTTTCATAAAATTTTCAGTTCAGCATGAGGATGTTATAAAATTTCACAGTCTAAACTACCAGCACAGGAAATGTCTTGCTTTCCTTTCATTTTTAATTGGCAACATTCTTCAATAATGTAAGGATATCTAAAGAGCTCTAACTTAAAGAGTTTCCTGGCTTACCTTGTTCAGAAAGGATCAAATTTATTTCTGGCTTCCATTCTCATTGGATGAAATAACTCCATAGATAAATTTCACACTTTGCCTTGACATTTGGAATAGCCCACAGTTCTCTAACTGAGACCAAGATCCCAGGTCCGTGTGTGTTATCCAAAAATGTGTATGTGTTAGATAAGCCCATATGGCAGTGAGTGGGTCACAGCAGTGCCAAGTTCTCTTTGAGTAAACATGAAAATACCCAGTCTCTCAGTAGGATTTAATTTTTAATTCTGTTATTCTTCCATAATTGGAATAGCTGAAGAAAAGTCTATCACATTCTTACCTTTCTACAAGTTGCCTGTGAAACACAGAATTAAAATCATTAACCTGGTGCACAAATTTTAGAGGTCTCTATGCCACATGGGAGAGTTAAGGTAAAGAAGGGGTAGTAATTAAGCCTCACAAAAGGTTTAATCAAATAAGGCAGCCCAGTTGTACGGAGGAAAATTAACTGAAATTAAGTAGTTTGAGTGGGTTCTAAGAGATACAAGGCTCAAGCAGACTTCAATCTGCCAATCAGCCAGAGAAATAAATTGAGTCATGTCTCAAAAGTGACTGATTTTTTATCCTCATTTAACTATAAAATGTGTCACACTTATAAGTAATTTTTGTAATTGGGTCCCAATTAAACAATTATCTCATTATATCTTATGAACTAAATAAGATGCTTTTAAATACAAGAAAAATAAATAGAGTCATTACAGCTCTAAGTTAAAGCCTTTTTTTTTAATTAGATAAGTGCTCACTTATTCCCTGAGTTGCTAAGGAATTGCTACAAACTTATTTCCATGATAAAGAAGAAAAAGCATAAAACATTTTCAGAGGAAAAGTGTGCAAACAAAAAAACAATAAAAGGTGGAAAAAGTGGCATCTGGATTTAGGTACCTGCTTTGCAAGACAGCAGAAATTTTTTGTGCATTTTGTCCACTCAATATCTGTTTAAGAGAATCATGACAATACTGAAGGAAGTACTGCACTTTGTCTCCAAAAAAACATACTGAAATGCTTTCTTATAGTGAGCCATCATACATATATCTCTTCTTATGCACATGTCTCACATGGAGGATTGAGGCATCTAGGAGAGGATATCAGCACTTCTCTGATATCCTGTTTTGCTTTGAAACCTGGAGGAACCCAGAATTCATTTAGCTAGGAGATGAAGTTGAAAATTCTTCTCTTCACAAGAGTTATCCCTTTTTTTCCCCCTGGATTTTAGACCATAGTTTTTGTGACATCTTATTGTATTTGGCATTTTTAGATCAAGACCTGCAAATTAGGTTTCCCCTGTTCTCACTATAGGTGACTGTTACACATCACTCAGAAGCAGTGCTTCTGCTATGAGGCTGTGGAGATCCTAAGGCTCCTTGTTAAACCTGAGTCTTTGTTGCAGAAAAAGATAAACTGCTTTCATTCCAGAATAATTGATTAAGTTTTGAAGAACATAAAATATTCTGGAATAAAAGTGGCATAATTGTGCAGTGTTCTGTATGCATTTGCAATTATTTTAGAATAGCTGTTGCAGAATGATATATTTCTCTAGAGATTGTCTTGTAAATTTGTCTTTGTAATTTCTTGCTCTGGCCTAGCTTTGGCTCTGTGAAAATGAAATTTTAAAGTAACAGTATTTTTCATGTACTAAAGGCATTCTTGATGAATTTTCATGAATGCTGAATTCCTACTGAATAAGGGTCATCTACTTTTTTCCGCTTTACATGTCAGAATTTAAAGTAGGTGTTTTTTTTCTATCATTTTGATATGTCTCAACAACCACTGTTACTTATTACTTCCTTTTCCTCTAAAGGGATATCTTAATCAACATAGATTAGTATGTAAAAGAGTGTTCTGTATTATTAAATAAAAATGAGAAGTTTGTAAAGGCAATTAATTTAATGTGGACCTAAAGTACCACTCATTTTCTAAAGAAATTTCTGTGACAATTATGTGTCACATTTTCATTTCATGTAGGTTATAGCCTGGATACCAGCAGATTTGCTCTTTAATTTGTAACTTTGTTATTGTTTATTGTGGGTGTGTGAACCTACCATTCCAAACTGGTAAATAAATGTATGTGTCATAAATGTTTCTAAAAACCTTTATCATAAAACACTGACAACAACAAAATCCTAATTTAACACACTAATGACAAGCCTAAAACACCCACTTGATAAAGGAATATAATTAACAGGTTTAATGTCTGTTAAGATATAGATGATTTCTGACCTTGCTCTCTTAGTTTTTTCCTTGAAATTGTGGCAGAAATAGTATTTCATGTTTCTTAGTCATGTAATTACCACAGATTAAACAGGGGATAATTCTACACTGTAAACACACCATACATTGTAATTTAATTCATGTAAAGGGATTACTACTAGGCTGCATAAGATCAATTACATTTGGTAATCTTCTACCGAGTCTGGAAATAAAATTTTTAATGGGTACAATTTTAACTGTGTTTTGCATGTGATGGTTTTGAGGGTTTTCTTTCCTTTGAGTTTTCAGGTGGTTTTATCTCTTTTTTTTTTTAAAAAAAAAAAGGGATACTGTACTTAAAAGAGAATTTGAAAGCATGTTTCGGCATGGTATTTCTTTTGACTTTTTAGCATGTCACAGGACCTGTTGTAATTTAGCTGTATTTTGTCTTTAAGTTTTTGTGTTGTCATGACATGTGTTGATTGGTGTGGGAGTGTGTCATCAAATAAGTGTATTTTCTTATTTGTAACCACAAAAAGAAGTGAGTTTAGCTGTTTTTAACTGGGATCTTTTGAGTCAAGTTCTACACCTGCTCAATTGAAGCCTCATGCTTTGCATGAGGTGTGATGACATCTTAGGATGTTTATTCATAGCATATTCTTTTATGATTCACAGACTGATTGCATAACAAAAGCCCTCCAGCAGGTCTTTTAGAAAATAACTACTTCTATCATATCAGTAGAGCCCATTTTATGTATTTACAGTATGAAAATAGAACAAATGCAATTACTTTGTAAGTTAGCTGCCAAATATTATTTGAGGAAAGTTATTCAAAATGTAATTGCTGAAAATGAGACATAGAGGAAGGGTTTAAAGTCAGTTAAAATGTGTCAGTTTCTGAAGTTGTAAGTAGTTCCTCCTTTTGCCTTAGAAAAATTTACCTTCTAATTTCTTATTTGCACAAATTGTTTAATGTAAAATCTCCCCTTGGAAATGTTAAGTGTCATATAGAGAAGCGTATAAATAAAAACAATTCAAAAAAAGAATGGGTGTTTATCATTTTAGAAAAATATTTCTTCACAGTAAGTTAATTATTATGATTTGTGTTCATGATGCTGGTGATTTAGTCAGGTTCACTGTGTGATGAGTGAGTCTCATACTCACTGGGTTTATGACCTGTATATTTACAGTAGGGTAATTGCACCTTTAAATATCTTAGTTGAGTTACCAGACGCTGTTTTGTGCATGTCTGAAGTGCCTGTATGTACAAGATGATTGATTATGATGGTCTACTGCTGTTACTAATTTGTTTCCCATTTCCGATTGGCTTTTACTTTTTACAGCTTTGAGCAGTAATTCAGTCCCCTACGCCTCCCTGATTGGCTCTGTGTCCTCCCTCTCTAGCCAAACTACCATTCAGTCCTTATATGATAATAACTCTCTCCCACGATTCGCTCGAAAAGGTCTAAACATCTTTGTCTCTATTATTTTCTCTGTTCAAGCACTGTTTTAGATGTACATCAGTCCACCTCCATTTCTGGATCAATCTAGAGTTCTCTCGTGCCTTTTCACCCACATATTTTCCATAGGGGTGCTTGATCTGGATAAATCCATCTAATTATTAGATGACTGTCACCCACACTCATTTTGAGAGTAGCCAAGTCCTAAGTAAAATTTGTAAGAAATGGGAGAGAAGCAGAGCTGCAGTAAATAAATTAGTACTTAGAGACTAATTTTTTAATTGAAATTTTTAAGGAATCTCCCCACTGATCTGAATATTCTGCTGAATAGTTGACTGACAACTTGCCTTAATATCTTAACATCACAGATGTGCTATGAAGATTCCCTGAAATATATATATATAGGGTCAGAAGAATTAGGGCCAGTGCTGCTGGACATTATTTTGGAGTCTATTATGATGCTTGAAATTTCAAAAACTCCAAAAGAAAACAGGAATTAAAACCAAAATTAGAATAATTAAAAGAATTAAAGCATATACTATAGTGTGACTGTGTTGTAGCCACATGGTCATTTTCAGCTATGTTTAAAGGAAATGCAAGTCAACTGTCTTAGGCATGCTCTTGAAAGTCACGGTGACAAAGCAAACTGCATTGTGCAACATGCCTTCCAGCTTGAGCCCCCTTGAGTCATCAGTGTTTTCCCTTTGTAATTTCAAGAGATCCTGGGGTTCACTAGCTTAACATTTTCTTGCCAGCTCTGATTTCTTCCCATAGCTATTGAAACCTCACTTTCATTTTAGGTGTGATAGTCTAAATTATGAAGAGAAGAATGTAAGCATTTTGGAGAAAGCTCACGAAGACTAATAGCTTGAAATAAATATGTGCACAAAATTTTGCCTGTTAAATCTTAAGCTGGCAGATTGTTCTAGTTGACCCCACATCTTTACTATCTTTTTTTGGGTTTGGTTTTTTTTTTGTTGTTGTTGTTGTTTCTGGGGTTTTTTTGTTTTGTTTTATTTTGTGTTTTTGCCTTGCTGTCCCTGTACCCCCTTACATACCCATCTGTACTTCCAATTCCAAGCTCTTCTTCTTTTTCACTTAGTATCTTCATCAGTGGACAAAGATGTTTACACCTGAAGTAGATTGTAGGTACTTTTAGAGGTTGATAAATGGGGTTAAAGATTAAACATATTTTAAGGCATTAGTGCAGTCAGCATGTGAGTCCAGCCAAACTGTACAACCCCTGCCTCTACAATCTGCTACTAGTGAAAACATTTTTGGAGTTCTAATTGTCTTACGTCCAATGTTGTCTTCAGTGACTGTTGTATTAAAGCAGTGATGCATGTTGTTCTAGTCATTCATAGCTGCATGTCAGTCACCTCAGAATTCTGTAAAAGACTTAAGTATTTCTAATTTAGAGTACACAGTCAGTCATCTATACCTTGATGCATTATTATTATTAGTATTAGTATTAGTATTAGTATTAAATCTTTCAATTTCATTATTTTATGCTTTATTTTATAAGTTAGTTTTATGTTGGTTTAGGTTTGGTTTTTTTTTTACCTTTGCAGGTTCAGGTGTCTCTGGTTACCTTGGTAACCTTCATTATTCGAGTTTGTTTTTCTTGATTGCGCATAAGTCACTTTGTTTTCTGTCAAAACACTATTGTTTCCCCTTTAGGGCTCTTTCAGTGTCTGTTTCTCAGTTCACATTTCCTCATCTAATTCAATAGAGTTTTCATTTCATGCATTGCAATAGAAGGAGTTTGAAATGACATTAAGAGTCATTACTCAAAGCAGAGGTCAACATCAGGTCCAACTGTTTCATTTTTCCATGACTAGCTAAACTCATTGACTCATATAACACTAACTCTTTCCTCAACACTAGGAATGTTAGCTTTGGGAATATGTTTGGTGACTTCTTTTAATTTGGCTTCAGAGCTCATCTATGCAGAGCATGTCCTGCTTTGAGTAACCAAACTATTTGCCTGCTTCTCTCACATATGACATCCTTACACATTTATAGACATTGTAACTACTGCATTTTCTAAATTTTAGAGCAATGCCATCACTGTAGTTTACTTTAAATTTTGTTCTTCTTTCTTGTTCAACAGGTATGGCCAGTCATCCCCCAATACCTATTTTGGAACTTGCAGATCACATTGAAAGATTGAAAGCAAATGACAATTTGAAGTTCTCACAGGAATATGAGGTAATTTTCCCCACCTCTTTACTATCATGCTTGCTGTTTCCAAGACTTCTCTCTGGTATGGTGCCCAGTTTGCATGATATTAAAACCATGATAAAAAAATGGTGTAAAAGGACTACATGGTGGGGTGGTTCCTTTGCTCATAAAATCCTGTTCTCTTTTTATAAGTATACATGTCAGGCAGATTCCATGGACACGTACATGAAGTAATGTGTGAATGATACAGCACAAACTTGTTTTAATATACACAGACATATATCTTTCCTGCAGTTTAAAGGTCCTTAGATTATTTTAAAAATAATATAATGTTGACAGGACACATACAGCAAAATCTCCAAACAAGGTTCAGTCCAGTGCTTTAGTTTTTCACTTGAGATAAAAGGGTTTGCAAGTGCTTGTTGTCTTTCCTAGTATAGCAGTTTCAGGACATTGCATTTTCCTCCTGTCAACAATACCACTTTGATAAATTGTGAATGATGGTCTAGAAGAGTATGAAAGAATTTAACTGAAAGACAGTAATCATTTACCAGCCACCTTGTCAGTAACCCATGGAGTATTATAGGTATTGCTATAGTGGAGGGTAACAGCCTCTCAGGTTAGTAATTTGTGGTGAAAGGGAGCCATCCATTAAACCTGGTAAATTATAGCTGTTACTTTAATGCCAAAATATTGTCCATGTCAAAAATATGTGGATCAAGTATACACTGCACCATTAGTAAAGAAGTGCTTCTACAGATCAGCTATAAGTGATCATGTCAGTGATCCAAGGATTAACAATCTCCAGAGGGATCACTGACACTTTATTTTCTTTATGGTCTGTTGTGTCACTAATCCTTGCTTAAAATCCTTCAACACTTTTTCAGGATGGTGGAGTAAAAGCCTGAGTTGCTCTTTTTTTTTAGGGACCTCTCATAAGTTGCATTTGAAGGTTCATATGGACACTGGCAGTGCAGTAAAAAACACTCAAGATGACTTTCACATTTTAGTTTCATAGTAACATACTACTGCATGGTACATGGAAACTCTATGTATTTTGAAAGTCTTGACAGAAGATGTTAAAAATTGATACTAAGTACTATGATAAAGAACTACAATTGCTTATTTTTTAATTGAATGTAGTATTCAGAAAGTCCTTAAGACTGCTTTAAGAAATTATTTAATTAGATATTAAAAGGAAAATACAGTTTCAACAATTCCTGGAAATAAATTTGATGAAGAACAGCTTAGGATTGCTCTGTCACACACAAAAAAAAATAAATATGGGGAAATCTCCTAATTTTTCTATGTGCAAACTCTTAAATATGGAGGTTGTAGCATATAAATAATCAGGCAGAAATTTAAGTTGCAGAATGTTCACCATTATAAAAGATAACATTTGGTACAAATTTCAAAACCATTTGCTGTTGTATTATGGGCAAATTAATTGGTTTTTTTCAGTGTAGAAAATCGCAAGCCATTTACAAATCATATACTATAGAATAATTTCTATACAAATAAACAATTTAGCTGTACAGCATCTTGAACATCGTGGGGATGTGATGTGGTTTTCTTATGCTGTAATATAAATTAAAATTTTTGGTGTTTTGTATTATCTCTTTCTTACTTAAGTATATTATCTCTTTCTTAATTAAGTAATTAAAATAATATTGAGGGTGCAATTTTAATAATTTATAGCCAATATTGAAAGATACATTATATAATTTAATTCTTAATATCTTCTGACCCCACAGAAGTTTCTCTAGTCTGCCTAAACAGGACAATTTTCACATTCTGTCTTTCCTTCATTTGTTTGAGGTTCTTTTCCTCTTTTTTTTTTTAATAAAACATACAATCTGGAGCAGAATTGTCAGACACTCAAGATTAGAATATGGGCAACTCTGGGTCAACACCAAGCTTCATTCATATTGCTTTGCCCAAGAAGGTTCAACATTTATCTTTGAAATTACAGCTTTAGAGATACCACTTCATTTCCATTAGTCCAAGATTCGTCCATTTTGAAATAGAACTAGTGAAAAGCACTGCTTTTTGGTTTCATGGTCTAGGCTAGGCAGTGGACTAAAGCTGTAGTTTGATGATCACTGTAAGTCATCTCTGTGTCTTGGCTGTGCATTCCTGTTGTCTCTCTTGTGCCAGTCCTGGCACTAGCAGATGTGCAGCTGTTCAAGGATTATCTCAGGAAATAGATTCAGCTGAAAACTAATTGTTTTATTTTTCTTTGCTGTTCTCAATTGGATCTGTTCCCTGAACTAGCTCACCACATGTCTGCTTAAGCTCTTGTGCCAGCAACAGGAAGTAGTGAGTATATTTGTGGTCAGAGATTGGGACCTTCTACTTCAGCAGCAGTTCTCACTAATATCCTTTAAACAATCTTTTTAAATCTGATTGCAAGGCAGAAAGAGGTGCAGATGGTAACAGTTCAGTCATTATCACTTCAAATAATGCTAGAGCTGGTGAGACAGAAGGAAAAAGAAATACTTCTCATATTCAAAAGTTCAAGGTGTAGCACACAGCACAAAACTACTGACCTTTATTGATACCAGCCAAGTTGCCCAATTAATTGCTGTTTAGGGAAGCAAAGAGTTTTCATTAATTGCCACTGATGATTTGGTTTGGTTGTTTTTAGTTTTTTTTAAATAATGGCCGTTCCTCTTTGGCAGTCAATTATTTTATTTTACTTTTTTATGGAATTGTTTGCATTACATGGATTAAATTCTTCAAAGGTGTGTTGATTGTATATAGTAAGTGATAACTTTGTGATACCATCAAGTAAAATTTATGTTGATTGTTTTCTGATAGACTCTGACTTCTCTTCCTTCTATTAGGAAGTTACTTCTATTTCAAAAGGATGTCTAAATTATTTTTTAGCACAGCCTACTTCAGTTACCACTTCAAAAGAATTGCTCGTTTCAACACACAAACACAACTTTTCATTTTCTAAGAAACACTTGAATATGTATTCCCCTTCCATTCTTGCTCATATTCCATCTAATTACTTTTGATCAGAATTTCTGATCAAAAGTCAACACAAGTTTGGTTTCTTCCTTTTAGGAGAATATCAGTTTTTTCCTGTTTCCACTTTCTCCTCACACAGACAAACCTCCCTGACTCTTCATAACAGTGTATTCTCCAGTGTAGAACAGCTTCTAGATATATTATGTTTTCTAAGGCTCAGTGCCATCAACTGGACAAGTTCCTACCTCTACAAGTTTTCAGACACTATTCCTTAGTATCTTCTTCAGGGCTTCTCCTATCCCAGCTCTTACAGCATCTCAGCAGGGCAATAGACATTTCTTCCATTGTACTTCTCTCACATATTTACCTTGAATACCATCTTTTATGGGAAAACAGGGGCCAAGCCTCATGGATTATTACTGTGGCAAGATTCAAATAAACTTACAATTCATATGCTGCGTAACGTGTTAACACAAGATAGCGCTATGGCTTCTAAATAAATTTTTCATAATCCTTTATTAATTTTTTGTTAGCTTGCAATTCCAAAGCCTAAACAAATGTTGATTTACTTAAAATCAAATATCATATAATTAATGTCATACAGTTATTTTGTGTTCTCTAATTTAAAGTCAGGATTGACCCCAGCTGATTATTGGAAAGCTTTTGCTGACTTTGGCAATTTCAGGATTTTTATGTAATGTAAGGGTCCATATGGACTTGACAGCTGCTAAGCAAAAATCTGTGTTTATAAGATACTGACCTTTATATTGTATCTTCTTCTCATCTGAGACTTCAGAATTTAAAAATAAAAAGTGGTCATGGAGATAAACTGAATAAAACCAGTAATGTTCTGCCTATTCTATGATGTACTTGTAAAGTAATTTCCTCCTATATGGTAGAACAGAAAATATATTCCTCCAAAGCAGATTTCTGAGACTTGAATTTAACATTTCTTTTCTGAGGTTTGTACATAAAAATTAGCTCCCTTAAGGAAGTGGATTCAGATTCACATTATTTTTGCATGAGAATCTGTCAGTACAACACAAAATTTACACTATCAGATTCTGCATGATTTACTGTGAATGTGTATATATGCACTGGTTAACAAATGTTACGAGAAGTTGTATATAATTTAATGTTTTCTCTCATCAGATTTCTTTCTGTAAAATTCTGTAAATTTCTTTCTGTAAAGCAAGTCTTTAAATTTAAAACTGAGTATTGGAAAACATGAAGATGAATTTTGACTTTTTTTTTGTAGCTTTTCAGAATTGGTTAAATTTGTAATGGGAACACAATTTATTGAATACGTTATATTTCTCTTTTTGTATCTCAAGCTGCAACAACATAAATATTGGATAGTAAAACATAGTAAATATTGTATAGTAGAACCACATATAAAACAATATATTTTATATATCGGTCCAGGAAGAACAGATAATCCTCTGAATTAATCTCTATTGAAGAAAAAGCTGCACTTAACTGTTACATCATTGTAGATAATAGTGTCTCATGTGGAAAAATCAATATTTTCCAGCAAAAATATGGTTTTGTTTTTTTTTTTTCCTTATAATGGTTTCATCTTTCTAATATTACAAACATCATTTATTGGGATTTTCCAACTTTACTTACATAGGATGTGCTCCATTTATTGAGAAACAATTAGTGTAGTCAGTGAACAATGAAAAAATATCTTCTTATTAGTATCACATATACTTGCATTCATCTTGGTTGTTTGGATCTTAGTTCCACTTAGGGTAGTATCTGAGCCAGCAGTATAGTTATGGTAAAGAATTTTAAAGACATAGCGCAGGAATTTGAAATTCTGCTAGTCAAGACTTAGAATGGGGTATTATCTTCTTCCTTTGTGTTGGGAATGCTTCATTGGGATAACAGCATTTGTTTATGCATATATAATTAATCAAATAAAAGAAAACTGGTGTTACATATTAGGATGCAATATTTTGGTCTGATACTGAATGGTTTTTTGCCAAGGCATTTCACAGACACAGTTTAGGTAGTCAAATTACTGCCTGAAATGAGGGGATAGCCAG